TAAGAATAATACTAATCAATAAGAATTACCCTGCGACGTGCCCAACCCACGCGCGTCAAATGGCAACAGGAGTATGCCAACATTAGCTGGAACAACGACAGTGTAGACGCGGCGATTTGCTGTGCAAGCTACATGGGATGCGCATGCATTGCGCGATTCACAGGACGACGATCGAAAGAACGAGGCTTGAGGCCCCAGGATCGAAGAAGAACGGGTACGGGAACGAGGGGTAGGAGAGGGATGGAATGGAGGGCGGGGGGGGCGAAAGGCCATCGCGGAAGCAGCAGCATGCATGGAGAAGGTGAGGCGGGGAATAGGACGACGATGAAAGTGGCGGGAGGAGACAGAAGACTGCCGCGTTTTTCAAGTGCGAGCTAAACCCGCAGCGCTGCCTGCGCCATGTCGTCGCAGAGTTCCACATGATAAAACTTGTTTAGAGTGCAAGGAACGAGCGAGGCGTAGCTCGCCCGCTAGCTTCTCCGCCTCCTTCCCGCACATTTCAGCGCGGGAGCTGAACGCTCGCAGGCGCGCCGCCAGGTCTGCGGGCGGCCCGCGGGAAAGAAACTCAAGGCCGGGGTCGCGTATCATCAATCGGTTGTCCATCGTCCAAAGTTGCACTGGCGACGTACTGGTTGAACGCGGAGCGAGCAGCATCACGCGCGTGCCTGAACGCCACGCAGGTACAGTGCACGCGCGATTGGGACTTCAGGTCGATCACGCGCGTCTCCACCAGGCTTGGCAACACCACGCGACTGAGGATCTCACTGCGGTCTGCCATGCTGCTGTCCGCGAATGCAATGCGCTGCCTGCAAGTAAGGCGGCGGCGTCCACTTGTCTCAGAAGATGTTCCCGCGGGCCCGAAGGGCGACCGCCAGCTCGAGCCGCGGCGCCGGCAGGCCAGATAAGGATCATGCAACAGCAAAGACGATGACAGAGCAACGAGGTATCGGCGAGTGCATGACCGGCCTCCGTTTCCTGCACTTCTTTCCTGTAGTTCCCCTAGCTCATCGAGCTCAGCAGATGTTTCTGCGGGTCCGAAGGACGACCGCCAGCTCGAGTCGCAGCGCCGACGAGCTGCATCCACATCAGGCAACACCCCAGGAGACACTGGCACACAACGATTTGACGTCAGTCAGTGCCAGACCACTCCATGTCTAGTTCCTCGCACACATACAGTCGATCGCAGATGCGGGATAATCGAAGTAGAATGACGGGTCCAATCTGCGTCCGCGTAGGACGTCACTATGCTGGACCCCGCAGCAGGTCTCGAAAGTGGCGACAGTTTCATGGGCCCCACAGCAGCCCTCGAAAGTGGCGACAGTTTCACAGATCGCAGCCCCCCAGCGCTGGCGAGGTCTAATCTGGGTCCCCGTAGGACGTCACTCCGCTGGCCCCACAGCAGCCTTCGAAAGTGGCGACAGTTTCACAGATCGCAGCCCCCCAGGGATGGCGAGGTCTAATCTGAATCCCCGTAGGGCGTCATTCCGCTGGGCCCCCCACGCAGCCTTCGAAAGTGGCGACAGTTTCGCAGATCGCAGCCCCCCAGGGATGGCGAGGTCTAATCTGAATCCCCGTAGGGCGTCACTCCGCTGGGCCCCCCAGCAGCCCTTGAAAGTAGCGACAGTTTCACAGATCGCAGCCCCCCAGGAACGGCGAGGTCTAATCTGAATCCCCGTAGGGCGTCACTCCGCTGGGCCCCCCAGCAGCCCTCGAATGTGGCGACAGTTTCACAGATCGCAGCCCCCCCAGGGATGGCGAGGTCTAATCTGAGTCCCCGTAGGGCGTCACTCCGCTGGGCCCCCCAGCAGCCTTCGAAAGTGGCGACAGTTTCACAGATCGCAGCCCCCCAGGGATGGCGAGGTCGAATCTGAATCCCCGTAGGGCGTCACTCCGCTGGGCCCCCCAGCAGCCTCGAAAGTGGCGACAGTTTCACAGATCGCAGCCCCCCAGGGATGGCGAGGTCTAATCTGAATCCCCGTAGGGCGTCACTCCGCTGGGCCCCCCAGCAGGCCTCGAAAGTGGCGACAGTTTCACAGATCGCAGCCCCCCAGGGATGGCGAGGTCTAATCTGAGTCCCCGTAGGGCGTCACTCCGCTGGCCACCCCAGCAGCCCTCGAAAGTGGCGACAGTTTCACAGATCGCAGCCCCCCAGGGATGGCGAGGTCTAATCTGAGTCCCCGTAGGGCGTCACTCCGCTGGCCACCCCAGCAGCCCTCGAAAGTGGCGACAGTTTCACAGATCGCAGCCCCCCAGAGATGGCGAGGTCGAATCTGAGTCCCCGTGGTGCCTCACTCCGCTGGACCCACCAGCAGCCCTCGAAAGTGGCGACAGTTTCACAGATCGCAGCCCCCCAGGGATGGCGAGGTCTAATCTGAGTCCCCGTAGGGCGTCACTCCGCTGGCCACCCCAGCAGCCCTCGAAAGCGGCGACAGTTTCGCAGATCGCAGCCCCCCAGGGATGGCGAGGTCTAATCTGAGTCCCCGTGGGGCGTCACTCCGCTGGCCACCCCAGCAGTCCTCGAAAGTGGCAACAGTTCACAGATCGCAGCCCCCCAGGGATGGCGAGGTCTAGTCTGAGTCCCCGTGGGGCGTCACTCCGCTGGCCACCCCAGCAGCCCTCGAAAGTGACGACAGTCTCGCAGATCGCCGCCCCCCCCAGGGATGGCGAGGGGCAAGCTAGGTAAAAGGCAAGCGAGAAGAGGACGAGCAAAGAGAGGAGGAGAAGGGAAGCAAGAGAGGAGAGCATGAACGAAGAGGGAAGAGAGGAGGAGGAGGCGGGAAGGAAGGTGGAGACCGCAGTGCTCTATTCAAAACGAGTACCCAACGCAGGAGGGTTGGGAATAAGAATGCGAATAAGAATACTAATAATAATAAGAATAATAATAATAAGAATAAGAATAATACTAAAACTACCACTACTACTACTACTACTACTACTACTACTACTACTACTACTACTACTACTACTACTACTACTACTACTACTACTACTACTACCACTACTACTACTACTAATAATAATAATAGTAATAATAATAGCAAAAATGCCAATAACAATACTAATACTTATACTAATAATTAACACATTAATGATAATAAACACCGCCATAAACATAAACTTTTGGCGCTCCGCAGAGATTTCTTGGATCTGCGCCGGACCCCTTCAGGGGCGGCGCCGGAGGCGCCGCCAGGTGCCCACAGCGCAGATCCGAGAAATCCGCGCGGAGCGTCGACAGTTCATGTTCGTGTGTTTTTTCTTCTTTGAGAGAAGGGGGGGTATAGTTTGAGCAGGGACCGACCGTTCTGGCATTCCTATAATCCTACCACGACATGTTCTTAGAACCCAGCAGTGTTCTAATAACAAAAGCAATGTTCTTGGAACATAAGCCCGACGTGCTAAAACAAGGCAGACTCAGCCAAAACTGTCCCAAGAACATTTCGTGCAAACCACTTCTTAGAACATTATTTGGCTTGCCGTCGCTCGGACGTCCATTACCCGTGCATTTTTCGGTTTCGTGCGTGTTTTTTTTTTCGCTCGATGATCCAGGATGTTCCTCAAGGGTCCTCGCCGAGAAAAAATACACACGTCCGAGCGACGCCAGGTGGGCCTATAGGCGAGCGAGCCATGACGCTTCGCCGCTGCTTGGCAGACATCGTGCTACCAGAAGGGGCGCCGCATCAGGAACGAAAGGGGCGTTCCCGGCGACGGCGGGCCTCGGCCACGAACAGGTGCCCCGACCTAGACCTTTCCCTCCTCCTCGGGCCCTTGGGGGCCCTCCTCCTTCCTCCTTCCTCCTTTCTCCTCCTCCTCCTCTCTCCTCCTTCTCCTCCCTCCTGCCTCCTTTGTCCACGTCCTTCCTCCTTCCTCCTTTCTCCTCCTCCTCCTCCTTCTCCCCCCTCCTCCTCCTCCTCCTCATTATCTCCTCCTCCTCCTCCTCCTCCTCCTCTCCTCCTCCTCCTCCTCCTCCTCCATATCTCCGCCTACTCCTCCTCCTCCTCCTCCTCCTCCTCCTCCTCATCCTTATCTCCTCCTCTTCCTTCTCCGCCTCCTCCTCCTCCTCCTTACCTCCTCCTCCTCCTCCTCCTCCTCCTTCTCCTCCTCCTCCTGGTCGTCGTCGATGTCTTTCGGGGTCGGCGGCACCGGCCGTCAGGCCTTTACAATCGGTTCCATGACCCAGATCCTAGATCGAACGAGCGGCCCGAAAACCGAAGTCTCTTCTGAGCCTCGAGTGGTCCTCATGGCCGCGCCTTGGCTGCAAAAGGAAGGGCGCAAGTCGAGGATGCGCAGCCCCAGTGCGTCCACGCTGCAGCAGGCGCAGCGGGTGCCCGCGCTGGAGCATTTGGCCCTGAGGATGGGCCGAACAGACAAGGCTGCAGGGGGCAGCCTTGCCGAAGTGTCCCATCCTTACCCCTCTCACTTCGCCCCTTCGCTCGCCGCCGAGAATCCGCGGGGAAGGACAGGGAAAACGACGAAACCGAGGAAGGAGGAGGACGACGGCGGAAAGGCGACGCGAGTGGCAACGTGGTACGCCCGCCCGCCCGACGATGCCCTCCTGGCTGTACCTGTGGGCCAAGAAACTGTGCTCAACGAGTCGCGCCGCCGGCCCTGGCCCACCACACTTCGGCGCGACACGCTGACCACGTCACGTCCCAGTCCCCCGGGCGTCAACATCGCCAGCTTTTCCATGCCTCCCGGGGGGAGGCTGGGGTGGGAGGAGTGAGGGGGGTAGGGGGGGAGGAGGGGAGGGGGAGGGGGGGAAGGGTAGAGGAGGGAGGGGGGGAAGGGGGGGAGGGGATGGGAGGGGGGGAGGGCGGAGGGGTTGAGGGAGGGAGGGAGGAGTTGGGAGGGAGGGGTCCCGCGATCCGGAGCGACGCGCCACTCGCCTGCAGAGCACAGCGTGTCGCCGCAGCGGCACGTGAAGCAACAGCTCCCGAGCGTGTGCTCTGTCGCCACGGGCGGCGAGGGAAGAGCGACGGTGGGCTTGGAGGAGCATGGTCCGCCTACTGCCGCAACTGCTGCCGCCACCTCTGCTGCTCCTGCTGCCGCCCGTGCTGTCGCTTGGTATGTGCGGTGGCAGGTAAGGAGGAGGAGCAATATGGAGGAGGGGGGGGGGCAGGGGGGAGCGGGGAACATGGGGAGGAGGACTTGGTAACAGCAGGACGAACCGGATGCGGTATGAGGCGATGGGGATGAGCTTGGTGGAGCGGGACAGGACGGAACAGCCACCGGATCCGAGAGGCAGGAGGCGAGGTGAATGCAAGGTTGGGATGGAGGAGTGGTCAAAGGAAGGGAAAGGGTGAGGGGGGACTCTGGGCCCTGCTGCAGCCGCTGCTCTCCCCTGCTCCTCCTCCTCCTCCACCTCCTGGTTCCTGGCTCCTGGTGGCCTGAGGATTCGTCGAATCCTACAGCTCTTCCTCCTCCTCCTCTGCCTCCTGCTCCCCCTCCCTCCTTCTCCTCCTCCTCTTTCTCCTCTCGCGCTCTTTCGTCTCGCTCTCTCCTCCTCTACCCCCTCCTCCATCCTCCTCCATCTGCTCCCAGCTCCCCGTTCCCATTCCCAACCTCTAGCGTTCGTATCGGGCATCAATGTCTGTTCATCGGATGACGTCCGTTGCCTATGCTGAGCCTCGAGTGCTGCGTATTTGTTTTGGGAGTGGGCGGGAGAGAACGAGACAAGTTGTGGCCCCACCCGACCACCCCCCTCGCCTCCTCATCATCCTCCCGCCTCCTCTGGCCATCCCCAAGGGCATCTGCAGGTCCTGGAGGTCCCCAGTTAGTTTCTGGAGGTTGAGGTAGACCCCCTGCGTTATGGCCATCGAAAAATCAGAACATTCAAGCATCTGGATCATCGCTTCTACTTTTTGCGTTGGTCGGGCAACAGCCGTACAACTGCTCCGCTCTTGTGCGAAAAGAGTGCGAGCACCGTCAAACTCGAACTTCGTTGCGCCCGTGCAGGCTCAGCAGGACTGGGAATGCGAAACGGAGCGGGCCCTCGAGTCTCCTCCTCCTCCTCCTCCTCTTCTCCCTCCTCCCTCTTGTCCCCCTCCTCCTCCCCCTCCTCCTCCTCCTCCTCCTCCTCCCTCCGCCCTCGCTCCCATCCCCCTCTCCTCCTCCTCCTCCTCCCTCCTCCTCCTCCTCACTCCTCTTTCCTCCCCCCCTCCTCCTCCTCCCCCTCCCCCTCCCCTCCTCCTCCTCCTCCTCACCTCCTCCGTCCTCCTCGCCCCTCCTCCCCTCCTGCCTCCCTCCTCCCTCCTCCCTTCTCTCCTCGACTCCCTCCCTACCGCGTCCTCCATCCTCCTCTCCCGAACCTCCCTCTCCTCCCTCCCCTTCTTCCGCCCCCTCCGCCCCGGGCTCGCCTGCCCTCCACCGGGGCTGCGGCGGCTGCGGTCCGTCGTAGACGACGACGAACCTCCCTGGAGCTCGCTCTGGTCGAGCCCCTGGCGCGCCCGCGCGGGGAGGGAGCGGCGCCACGGGAGCCGAGGGATCCTCGCCCTCCTCCTCCTCCTCCTTCTCCTTCTCCGCATCCCCCTCCTCCTCCCCTCCTCCTCCTCCTCAGCTCTCTCCTCCTCCTCCTCCTCCTCCTGCTCCTCCTCCTCGTCCTCCTCCTCCTCCTCCTGCTGCTGCTGCTGCTGCTCCTCCTCCTCCTCCTCCTCCTAGAGACGGAGGGCTGGGGGGGAGGGGGAGGAAGGGAGAACGGGAGACTGCAGCGCCCCTCGCCTTTCGATTGGTGTCTTCTTATGGCTGCTCTCGATTAGTTTTCGCAGCCTTCCCCCTCCTCCTGTTCCTCCTCCTTCTCCTGCTACGGCTCATTCTCTCTCCTCCTTCTCCTCCTTCTCTTCCTTCTCTCTCCTCCTCTCCCCCTCCTCTTCCTCGGAGGGATAAGGGGGGGATCGATCTGCTCTTCAGGGATCCCACGGCGATGCATCGCCGATAGATCGACGATATGCCCCAGGTAGCGAAATCGCACGTTCCTGGGAGGAGTTGGCTATAAAGCCACTTTAGTGGCGCTGGAAGCGGCAAGGATTTTGTTTGCTGCATTTGAAACAAGCGGCGTCTGGAACGTGAACAAACACTTATCTGACCATATGCGGGTGCGAGTGCCGCAAAACAGGTGGGACGAAAGAGGGGCAGCTCCCTATGGGGTCACGACGCGTGTGGGGCCTTCGGTGGAGCTCCCTATGGGGTCGCGAAGCGTGTGAGGAGTGTGCCGGAATGAGCGCGGCGGTGCCATACGAACCTGGTCACTGGGACCTTCGGTGGGGCCACGAAACGCGTGATGTGCCGAAAAAACGGTGCGGTGGCGCTACGCGAGCCCTCCCATGGGGCCCTCGTTGGGTCTCCCTGTGTGGCCACGATTCGCGTGAGGGGTGTGCCGAAAGAGGTGCGAAGGCGCAATGCGGACCCGCCCGCTGGGGCCTTCGGTGGAACCGCTGCGAAGCGTGTGAGGGGTGTGCCGACACGCGTTCGGTGGCGGCATCCCACTGGGGCCCTCGGTGGAGCTCGCTGTGGGGCCGCGAAAGGTGTGAGGGATGCGCCGACATGGGCGCGGTGGCGCCATGCGAACTCTGCCACGGGGGCCTTCGGTGGGGCTCCCTATGGGGCCACGAATCGTGTGAGGGATTTGCCGAAATATGTGCGGTGGCGACATGCGAGCCCTCCCATTGGGGTCTTCGGTCGAGCTCCCTCTGGGGCCACGAAGCGTTTGAGGGATGACAACGCTAATGACGATGATGCTGATGTGGTCACGACGATGACGAGGAGGAAAGAGGAAGGGGGAGGAGGAGGGTGGAGGAGTGGACGCGGGGCAATGCTGATTCGAAGCGAGGGCCCAACTCCACCAGATGGTTGGGAGAAAACGGCTCCTGGAAACGCCCTCTCAGAACTGCCCATCGGACCTCTCCAAGGGCCCGCCCCGACCCCAGCTTGACGAGCCGCGCCAAGCCGTGGCGACGAGGACCTCTTGAGACGCACGAGGTACCCCAATACGATGACGTCGTCGACGACGATTTCGCCGTCGCCGTCGCTGTCGTCGACGTTGTCGCCGTCGCCGACGTCGTCGTCGGCGTCTTCGTCATCGCCGTCGTCGCCGCCGTCGTCGTTCGTCGTCGTCGTCGTCGCCGTCGACCTCGTCGTCGTCGTCGTCGTTGTCGTCGTCGTTGTCGTCGTCGTCGTTGTCGTCGTCGTCGTCGTCGTCGTCGTCGTCGTCCGGCGGCGGCGGCGTCGTCGTCGTCGTCGTCGTTCGTCGTCGTCGGCAGCGGCATCGTCGGCGTCGGCAGCGGCTGCCGCCGCCGGGCAGGCGTCCTTCGGTCGTCTCTGTCTCTCTCGTACAGGACGAGCGCGGACGCCCCAGCCTCGCCGAAGGCATAGCAGGCAGGAACAGGCATGAAGAGGCAGAGGAGGAATAAGAGGCAGAGAAGGACGATGAGGATGATGATGAGGATGAGGATGGGGATGCTGATGATGCTGATGATGAGGGTGATGATGATGATGATGATGATGATGATGATGATGATGATGATGATGATGATGATGATGATGATGATGATGATGATGATGGTGATGGTGATGATGATGATGAGGATGAGAGGACGAGGAGGAGGCCCGCGGCCCGACGCGGCGCGACGGCCCCGCCCAGCGCACTACACGGTACCGCCAGGGGAGTGGCCCTTCCTCGGTTTTGACCCCCCCCCCCTGGCCAGGGGCGACCGTCCCTGGGGGCGGGGATGGCCGCGTCTGGTGGACCCACATGCCGAGAGCGAGAGAGCGAAAGAGAGAGGAGGTGGAGGAGGAGGAGGAGGAGGAGGAGCAGGAGGAGCAGGAGAAGGTGGACAGGAAGGCAGCAGGAGGAGGAGGAGGAAGAGGAGGGGGACGAGGAGGAGGAGGAGCAGGAGCGGGAGGAGGAGGAGGAGGAGGAGGAGGAGGAGGAGGAGGAGGAGGAGGAGCAGGAGGAGGAGGAGGAGAGAGAGAGAGCAGGGGGATCAATGCAAACCCAAAACGCACAACGATGTTGCAAGACACCCTCCGTCCACATTCCCTCCCCAACGGTCCCTACAAACATTTCTTTTCACTGCGTGAAGTGCCCGTTGGAAGACAACCGTCTGAGAATCGTCAACCGTACCAATGCACCCACCGCGAAACAACGATACTGTGGCGTCCTGACGAGCCTGAATCGTGCCAAAATGCCATTCCTGGGACTTCAACACCGCGAACTACTGTGACTGTTGCAATCCGACACCATGCCAGAACGCAATTTCTGGGACGCCAGCCATACGAACCGTTGACACGATTGCAGACTTATAAAACGAATGTGCGCGTCGCTGGGGCGAGAACCACATTTTGAAATGGGGCCGCCATCCATGCGTGGAACTCTTGCAAACTGTTAAGACGAATATGCGCGGCGCTAAGGCGATAACCACATTTTGAAAACGACCCACCCTCAATCCGTGAAGCTCCTGCAAGCGTTGAAGACGAATACGCGCGGTGTTAAAACGATAACCACAATTTGAAAACCACCCGTCCTCAATCTGTGAAGCTTCAGGGTCATGCGCGGTTTGGAAGTCTCAGGCGAAACGCCTGGACCACCCTATTGACACACGTCTCGGGGTGCGACAGGGAAGAGTTATTCACAAGGAAAAAGGATGGAGGAGGAGGAGGAAGAGGATGATCGATTCCACAGTGAATACGTACGATAAGACACTTTGCCATCAAGAACCCTTGGGCATATTCTTCGTCGATCTTTGAGCGTACTCATGTGTTGCAAAACTTCTATGGGCCGCTGGGACCAACCGGGGATAAAACATTACCGTGGGTCAGTTGCTGGCAGGCCGATTCCTTATTCGATGTGCTTTGGGCCTCCGAGGGGCTCTGGCGAGAGAGGCGGCATCGGAGGCAGACGATGAGGGGACCGGGGCAGACCCAGGATGCATGAAGGATGCTGCTGCGCACCCTCCAGTCACAAGCCCTCTCCTCAAGCCCCCCCCCTGAAAGACGAGAGGTCCCCGTGGGCCTGCCGTTGAGATGAGAGCCTCGGTCTTATAAGGAAGCGCGAGGAGATAGGACGATGACATTCAGAGGCAAGCCTGACGAGAAGCCTGTTTTTATCTAACAGCGTTTGCTGATAGGTTTCTAGTAGGGTCAAAAGAGAGCATCATGACTCCTCAGGGGGGTCTGGGCGGGTGCTGGGGAGGAGAACCGGGAACAGAACCGGGTTCGTTTTAAGCCAACAGTCACACACTTCGTGCTCTTCGACCTCCCAGAACTCCATTTCCGGGCCACATTTTGAATAACCGGAGCCAACAGTCACACACTTCGTGCTCTTCGACCTCCCAGAACTCCACTCCCGGGCCACATTTTGGATGCCCGGAGCCAACTGTAGGCCACTTCGTGCTCTTCGACTTCCCAGAACTCCATTCCCGGGCCACATTTTGGATGCCCGGAGCCAACTGTAGGCCACTTCGTGCTCTTCGAGTTCCCAGAACTCCATTCCTGGGCATGATTTTGAATGCCCGGAGCCAACTGTAGGCCACTTCGTGTTCTTCGAGTTCCCAGAACTCCATTCCCGGGCCACATTTTGAATGCTGAGGCTGATGTTGAGGCTGATGCAGGCTGAGGCTGAGGCAGGCTGAGGCTGAGGCCGAGGCTGAAGGCAGACTGAGGCTGAGGCTGAAGGCTGAGGCTGAGGCTGAGGCTGAGGCAGGCTGAGGCTGAGGCTGAGGCAGGCTGATGCTGAGGCAGGCTGAGGCTGAGGCTGAGGCTGATGCAGGCTGAGGCTGAGGCAGGCTGAGGCTGAGGCCGAGGCTGAAGGCAGACTGAGGCTGAGGCTGAAGCAGGCTGAGGCTGAGGCTGGCAGGCTGAGGCAGGCTGAGGCTGAGGCTGAGGCAGGCTGAGGCTGAGGCTGCGACTGTGACTGCCGTTGCCACTGCGACTGTCATCGCGAATGCGACTACGACTGCGAGAACAGCAGAATTCTACAACTGGATTCTCATCTGAATCTTAAAGGGAATGCTTCCAGATATGCTCCTACACATCGCTGTTAGGTTGCTTTGCCGGGATAATTAGAAAGACCTTGAACACGACCCGTCGTCCATCGGTGCGGACTGTCTGTTCCTCTTGTTGAGGCGCTGCTGCGCGGCACGAATGCACGTTTTGAAAAGACCTTTTTTTCTGGAGCTGTGCTTTGTATCTCCGCTCATCGTCTGTTCGCCGCCTTGTCCCCCGCGCCCCCTCATACAATCAATTGACGTCTTGCCGTCATCATTATCGTGTCTACCGTTGTCGACGTCGCCATGATACCGCGCCCGCCCAACTCACTGACTTCTGCTGAAGTGTCCCCTGGGAAATGGCCAATGGTCAACACCACCGCGGCCGCGTCGGTCGCGCCAAACTAACCGGCCCCTGCGCGCGCGAGCGCGCGGGCTAGCGCGGCCGCAGAGATGCTCCAGCCAACACTATGCACTCATCGCAATCGCCGCCGCAAGGGTTTTGCAACCCAAGTCGCGGGTGGGCGGGTGGGATGACTCGGCGAACGGTGGAGTTGACAACTCCGGCTTTTTCACAACTATCACAACAGAGAGAAAACCCAATCAGTGGATGGCATGACAACTATTGATATGGCTATTGAGATCGCTTGTGAGATCGAAAACGGAATCGATACGGAGGACGATTCTAAGGTCGATCGTGAGACCGAGGGTAAAGTCGATTCAATGAGATCGATAGTGGTATCGATCGTGAGAGCGCTCGTGCGATCTATAATGGGATCGATTCTGATATGGATGCTGAGATTGATTTTGACATCGATATAGACGTGGGTATTGAAATCGATGGTGAAACCGACCGATAAGGAAATCGACCAAGAACCCGGGAACCCCGGAACCCCGCCACCCACCGAAATCGGCCAGGGACCCGGAACCCGGGAACCTGGAACCGGGAACCCGGCAACCTGGCCGTCCAGCAAATCGGCCCGGCATTTTCGCCAAATTTTTCAATATCCGCCAGCGCGCGCGTCGTCGCCCGCGCATGCCGAAATCCTTAAACAAACTTCGGTTTTGGAGAGATATTTCAAAATCGAATGTCCAGACAACATATGACAACACATGGTCTCGCAACGCGGATTTTCAAAACAAGCGTGCGCGCGCGCTCTTGCGAAATCCTAGAAGCCATTGTTTTCTTCCAACATTTCAGAACATGCTATCAAAAGGTCTTTGCGCGCGCATGTCGAAATCGTTCGAACGCCCTTGCGTGCGTGCTGTCGCGAGAATCCGTTGCAGAAAAAACGAAATGCGCGCGCGCACGTCGTTGCGCACGCATGCCGGAGTCCTTCGAAAACCTTCGGTTTCACAGCGGTTGCAAAACCGAATGTCCCCTAAAACATGAAAGACACATGGTTTCGCAATGCCAGTTTTCGAAAACAGCTTGCGCGCGCGCTCTTGCGAATCCTTGACAAAATCATAGGTTTTTCAAACTGTCAATGGAATTCTGCCAAACGGACCTCTGGCGCCGCATGCCGACATCATTCGCACGCCTGTGCGCGCGTGCTGGGGGGCACGATCCGTCTCAAAAACGCCATGCGGGTCACTCTCGCGCGTCGGCCGCGCGCGCACGTCGAACTCTTTCCGAAACCTTCATCACCGACGCGAGGACGCAGTCATCGTCGTCGGCGTGATCAGCATCGGCGGCCGCACTGGCCGCGCCTTCGTCGGTACGAACATCGTCACCAACATCGCCACTATCATCATCGTGTCTACCGTTGTCAGCGGTACCGCGCCCGCCCAAGTCGCCCACTCTCACTGAGGTGCCCGCTGGGATGCGCCCAGCGGTCAGCGCCACCGCGGCCGCGTCGATGACGCCAAACCAGCTGGCCGCTGCGCGCGCGTGCTAGGGTTGGCGCGGTTGCAGAGATGCACCAGCCAACGCCAAGCATGCATCGCAATCGCCACCGCGTGGGTTTTGCAAACCAAGTTGCAGGTGGGTGGGTGGGATGTTTGCAAGAGCGTGGGATGAGTCAACTCGTTTGTGAAAATCAAGTGCACCACATAGTCTGCTCCACATATAGTATACCACAGTTATAGCTTCATACAGGTTGCACACCATATTTTGTTAGGAGCACGTTGTTTGGGGTCCACGCCTGATCACATATCTATCAATCACAATCTACATCATGATGTCGTGGTGACGAGGCAGAAAACAACAAAGGACGGAAAGGTGCTGGCCTTCGGCCAAGGGGCGGCTGTCCCGTCGCGCCGGTCGCGGTCCCGGTCGCGATCCTTGTCGCCTCGCCGGTCGCGGTCCTTCTCGCGGTCCTTGTCGCGGTCGTCTCTGCGGTCCTTCTCGCGGTCCTTGTCGCCGCGGTCCTTCTCCTTGTCGTCCCGCCGGTCACGATCGTCCCGGCGCTCGCGCTCCGCACTGCGGCGGTCGCGGTCGCGGTCCTTGTCGTCCCTGCGGTCTCTGCTGCGCTTCTCCTCGGCGCGGTCGTCCCGCCTGTCGCGGTCCTCCCGCCTGTCCTTGTCGTCCCGGCTCTTGCCGCGATCTTCTCGCCTGTCCCGGTCTCGAGCGCCTCCCCACGCCGCGGGGCGGCGAGAGCGGATGCAGGCAAGGGGAGGAGGCGGGCGCGGGAGAGGAGGAGGGGGCGAGAGGGGCGGGACGACCACCCATGTTCCAAATGGTCTCCAGGCCCCCCCGGCCTGAAAAGCACCCCTCACGAGCCCAAAGCCACCCACCATCATCGGGTGTACTGTACACTCGGGGCGGAGGCGACATGAAGCCTGGATCCCTCTCGCAGCATCCTGCACACTCGGGAATCCCACACGATTCGGAGGAGGACGACGACGACAACGTCGACGACGACGAGGAGGCGAGCACAGAGGGGGGAACGAACGACGAGGATGCGAGCGCAGAACGGAGAGGACACTGCCAGGGCGGCGAAACGCGCTGGGCTGTCCGAGGGCCTCAGTGACCCCAACACGGTGCGAAAAGCTGGGGGCACCTTGGGCCCAGCTTCCGCCAGACTCGCGTGGCTTCCGCCGGCCTCCCACCGAAGGCGAGAAGCCGAGTTCCAGGACCAGCCAGCATCGAATCGGGAAATCGGGTCGAATCAGCGCGCGCGTGAACGTCGGGCTGCGTCGGCACGGTATCGAAATCGAATCGGATCGGCCGACAAACGCCAAACAAACACCTGGCGGGGCCGCCTGGGATCGCCGGAACATCGGCATCGATCCAGACCGGGCCGACCAGAATCGATGCCGGACCGGATCGATCGGATCGAGCTGGAACAGGACTTCTCGGTCCCTCGAGGGCGAGGCCCACTCTGGAAGGCGACCACCGGGGCGAACGGCACAGTAGGGGAAGCGGTACGTGCAATCCAAGGGCGCCGATGGTCCATGTGTTCGGCAAGGCTTCCAGGCGAGTGCAAACCCAGACCCCCGACGCCGTGACTTTTTTTCGCAACGTCGACCCCCACCACTCTGAACCCATTCCCCAGGACCGAGTCGCTTTCTCGGGGCCCGGGGGCCCGGCAAAGGCCCCCACAGGCCGAAAATTACCCAACAAACACTTTCGTCGCATCTTCCTCACGACGCGAGGGGGCCTGTGTATTCTGCCCGCCCCCGGGCTGTTCGCCCCGTCGCCTCCAACATTGTGGCGCGCCCTGGCCGTGGCACGCCCCCGGCGTCATCGCCACCGACGGCCGCGCGCGCCGTCCGACCCTCGGGCGGCCCCAGGCCCTCGAGCGCTCGCGCCTCCGCCGCCCGCCGCGCCGACCGCGGCGCGGGCCAGCCACACGGCCGGCTCACGCCGCGGTGGCGCCGGCGCGCCGGCTTCTGGCACCGCACGTGGGCCGTTCGACCCTGCGCTAAAACTGGGGGCCTCCCAGATTGGGTCCGAGTCAATGTGGTCGGAGGATCACGCGGCATCGTCAATGCATCGCCGATGCATCGGCGATGTCGGCGATGCATCGGCGCCGCCGGCGTGGAGAGAAGTCTGGCTCCACATCGAGCCACACCGCCGATGCATCGGCGATGCGGCGCGGGTCCCCCGAGCCCCTCTCCTCGGGCCCACTTGGGAAAAGGAGGAGGGGGAGGAGCAGGAGGAGGAGGAGGAGGAGGAGGAGGAGGAGGAGGAGGAGGAGGAGGAGGAGGAGCAGGAGGAGGAGGAGGAGCAGGAGGAGGAGGAGAGGAGGAGGAGGAGGAGGAGGAGGGAGGAGGAGGAGGACGCCCGCGCCCGCTGCCGCCGCGGCGGCGACCACGGCGCGAACCGACCCGGGCGCGAACGCCCCGGGCGCGCCCTCGACTTAAGGAGGTGGTGGGAGGAGGAGGAGCACGAGGAGGAGGAGGAGGGAGGAGGAGGAGGAGGAGGAGGAGAGGAGGAGGAGGAGGAGGAGGGGGAGGATGGGGGGAGGAGGAGGAAGAGGAGGGGGAATAGGAGGAGGAGGAGGAGGAGGAGGAGGAGGAGGGAGGAGGAGGCGGAGGAGGAGGAGGAGGAGGAGGAGGAGGAGGTGGGGTCACCAGAGATGTCTCTGGAGGTCCCTTCCTAGGGGGGCAGAAGAAGCACCCTCGCGATAAGCAGCCCTGCAGGCGAAGCCCTTCGGTAAACGCGCCTGCAGAAGGAATCGACGCACTCCAAAATGATCCGCAAACGCCAGCTCATGAGGTCGGGGCGATTTCCCCCCCTTGGCTGCATGTCCCCGGGGGGCTCCAGAGGCATCCAGAGGCTCCAACAAGGCAACGAGCAGTCTGATTGAGGGGGAACAACAAGGGGGACTAGCTGAGGGGGCGAATATCGATCTGGAATCGGCGATACACCGTCGACAGATTGGCGATTGGCCCCCGAAAGCGAATTCGCACGCTCCTGGGCGGGGTCGGTGCATCCCCTAGTCAGTTTATGAAGAAAGTCCTGGAGTCCTCGCGCGGCAACTTGAGACCCAATTCGCGTCTGATCCACGTCGGATTTACGTCGGGTTCGCGTCGGACTTACGTCGGATAAGTAATTGCTGCGCGAACGTCGACCCATGCCTGACGGAGCGGACGTTTGGACTAGATGATGGGACTATTGCGCGCGGCGCGGGGCCTCCAGGATTTTCCTCGTAAGTGAGCCAATGCCCACCTAACGGCAGGTCGGGCATGTCCCCCTACAGGCGGATTTTGGACGAAAAATCAACAACACTCAAAACACGCTCAAACGTCGGCCAACAGTACTAGACAGATCGTCCCCCGACTATGTTATGTTCTACTATCTTTGCGTATTCCTCCTGTAGAGGGACGTGCCCGACTCAAACCTAACGCTGCCCCTGACCTGGGGGACCCCCAAGGCCTCCAGATGCCCCAGCGTGGCACGGAGCAGTCTGCTCTCGAAGCGCGGGAGCCTCCGCGGCGCGCCCGGGAGAAGACTCGGCCCATCCCTGGGGGCCCGTCTCTCTCTCCCTCTCTCTCTGGACCGAGCTTCGGCAGTCCAGGGGCCCTGGCGGCGCGTGCGGGGAGAGCAGGCGGCACCGAGACACAATCTCTGCTGTAAATTCTACGTCCGGAGCCTCTTAGAAGGCAGGGGGCCTCTTAGAAGGCAGGGGGCCTCTCAGAAGGCAGGGGGCCTCTTAGAAGGCAGATGGTTGTATAGGTACAGCCCTCCGAGAGAAGGCAGGGGGCCTCTTAGAAGGCAAGGGGCTTCTTAGAAGGGCCCAGGAGCTTGTCAGATGCCCTCTTGGAGTTGGGTCGGGCCTGTCCCCCTACAGGCGGGTTTTGGACGAAAAATTGAAGATACCCCAAAAAGATTCCAAGATACGCAACACATGCTCAAAAAACGTTGTCCCCTGACTATTTTTGACTATGTTTGAATATTCCTCCTGCAGGGGGGCATGCCCGACTTACTCTTAGAACCCTGGAGTGCACCGTTTCCTTCTCAGAACCCCCTCGCCTAGAATGTTGTCCCCTGTCGCGTAGTTTTAGGTCGGGCGTGTTTGCCTGCAGGCGGATTTTGGACGAAAAGTCAAACATACTCCAAAAATGCCCCAACACGTATTAACAATAGTATAAAAATCCTGCCCATATAATTTCTGGACTATTTTGGAATACTCCTCTTGTAGAGGGAAATGCCCGACTTAAAACGTAGTCCTTCGCGACGGAGCTCTGGGACCCGACGTTGCCAAACAGCGCCGGCATCAAGACAAATCACGACCGGAGCCCGAGACCCCACGGTCTGCCGCACATGCCGAACCAGATCGATCCGCGATGGTCCCGCAGCTGTGCGAACACGCCAGGTGACAGCGGCGGATCTCAGGCCCCCGCCGCGCCCTCGCCCCGCGGGGGAGGGGGGGGGTCCTTCGCCTCTCTTCTTCGAGGGGCTCCTGGCCTTCCTTGAGGCGGCGCTGCTGCTCCTCTTCGTGGGCCTCCACGAGGGGCTTCGGTCCTTCTCCTTCCTCGGGCTCTTCTCTTTCCTCGGGCGGCAAGCGAAAAGGAGGATGGGGGCGCATGCGGACAAGGAACTCATCGACGGCGCAGACCGGCATGATTGAAGAGGAACGCTAGGGGCTAATGGCCCCTGCCGCAAACGTACGCGCCTTGGGGATTCAGGCTGGCTCCTCCTGCAATCCCCCCCCCCTCCCCGCCACCAAGGTTGAGGGAGGAGGGGGCAGACAACGTGTGGTGGGAGGGAGAGAGGGGGGCACGGAAGGAGCGGGGTGAGGGAGAAGTTGAGACAAGGGGCGAGGTGGTGCAAGAGGCGGAGGAGGACAAACACGAGCAGGATGATGGTGGTGATGATTACGCGGATGCCGACGAGATGGTGGTGATGATGATGCTGTTGCTGATGATGATGCCGATGACGCTGACGATAGTGATGATGCTGCTGCGGATGATGGTGATGATGATGAGGATGAGGGTGATGAGGATGATGATGACGACGATCATGATGCTAATGCTGATGCTGATGCTGATACTGCTGCTACTGCTGATTATTTTGATGATACTGATGCTGATGCTAATGAGGCAGAGCGTTGCTGTAATGTATGATGCCGATTATGATGCTGTTGATAATGGTGATGATGATGCTGATACTGATGGTGGTGATGATGCTGATGATACTGCTGATGATGTTGATCATGCTGATGATGGAGGTGATGATGTTGTTGATGATGATGATGGTGATGATGACGATGGTAATAGTAGTGGTGGTGGTGGTGGTGACGATGATGGTGGTGTCCATGATGGTGGTGAGGAGGAGGGAGGGAGGGAGGGAGGGAGGGAGGTGAGAGGAAGCAAGGAGCGGCGAGGGAACATCGGCACGCGACGCAACGGCGCCTGGGATGTAAGCCCAGAGGGCGGCGTTTGGGGCCAAAATGGAAGCGGGCAGCGTCTGCCCGCGCTCCGTGCGCCTCTGCACGTCGGGAATATAAAGGTCCCTGCCACTCCACCTCACGGCCGAACCCACCGCGGAGGGGGCCGGCGAGGGATTGGGGAAGGTGCTGCAGGTACAGCGTGGGCGCGGCCGCAAGAAACCCTCGCAAAAAACCCAACCCTGAGAACCCGTGCGCGAGGTACACCTGAGGGGAAACCCGGAGCACCCTGAACGCAGCAGGTCCTTCAACGGCTGCGGGAAGTCACCGCCCAGCGCGAGGAGCGAAGAAACCCAGGATAGCCGGACGAAAAGCACATGGTTTCTTGATGCGCGCTCCCACTGTATTGAGGAGCCCCAGAGAGACGCATGCGCCCCGCCGCGTGCACGAATGCGCCCCCCCCCCCTCGGCTCGCGAGGCCGCCCTCAATGCCGCGAACGCCTGCGCAATGCGCTCTCTCGAAACGTGGGCGACTCCAGAGCCCCGAGCCCTAAATGCCTGCGTCTCGCCGTGCTTCTGGACTGGGCGCTGCTCTGCTCGCGCCGGCTTCTGCCGAGGGCGAGCCCGCGCCGAAGGCGAAACTCTGTCTGGGGCGCGCTATGTGAGCTCAGGGGCGACGATGGGGGCGAATGGCCGAGGGGAGAGCAATACACTTATTCAGGCGCGCCGATGATCCATGTCTTCGAGAAGCCCCCCGGGCGAATGCGTGTCATGCCCGCCCCTGGGCCATTCGCCCCTCTCGTGGACCAGGGCTCACTTTCGCTCTCGCTTTCCCGCGTTCCGCCTTCGTTCCGCGTTCTGCTGCCGCACGACATTTACGTCGGGCACGTCCCCCTATAGGCCGATTTCGGACGAGGAATAAAAATAGTCAAGCATACTCAATATATGTGTACATATGTATGTATGTATGTATGTATGTATGTATGTATGTATGTATGTATGTATGTATATATATATATGTGTTTATATATATGCAACACTAATGAAAACGTCGTCCCCAGACTATTTGCTTGACTGTTGTTGCATATTCCTCTTCTAGAGGGACACGCCCGATTTGACACGACATCGAAACGAAGACGGTCATCATAATCGCCCAGACACCGTTCAGCTCCGGCCCAGCAAGCGCGCGGAGGGTGGCCCCCCAGGCATGCCCGCCGCCGCCCCGATGGCGGACCTCCGCCCAGCGCCGCTCCGACAGCGGCAAGCCCACTGCCCCCGCCCCGACATCCGCCGATACCACTTTTTCCCCAACTCGGCGGTGGACAAACCTCCCTTTAGTAAATCACCCTTTAGTGAAAACGGCCCAGGACCGAAACCGACGGACCTGGACCCGCAAACATGACGGCCGCGACGCCCCCTCGCGAATCGAAATCGCCCTCTCTGTCCATCAACTTCCGACCAACCCTCCTCTGGGTGGGTCCTCGTTCTGGGTAGAGCGCTGCTTGCGCGTCTGATCCTCCCGCCTCCTCCCGCCTCCTCCTCCTCCTCCTCCTCCTCCTCCTCCTCCTCCTCCTGCGGACCATCGTGTGGCCCCAGGCGCCACCCACCGCGCCCTCCTTCCCGGAAAATTCCACAGCACCGCACGCAGCGCACGCCATCGTCCGGCGACGAGCTCCGCATCCTTGCCTCCTCGCTTCCCTCCTCTCTCCTGCTCGCGCCGCCTGCGGGGGCTCGCGCTGCCTGTGGGTGGGGCCTTGACATCCGCCGATCTCATTCTTCCTATCCGCGTCCCCAGAGGTCTCAAAAGGCCCACGACGGCTCCAGGAGGCGGAACTCGAACCGACATTTCGCGCTCTCCGCCCCAGGATGACCCCCGAGGCCACTTTCAGGCTCCCAAGGGCCCCCCCCCCCCCCCCCCGAGAAGCCCCAGGAGACCCCCAAGAGGCTCAAAGCAGACCCCAGGAGCCCCCCAACAAGCTCCGAAAGGCCCCAAGGACACCCCAACACCGCCTTCAAGAGTCTTCCGAGAGGCTTCCCAAGAGATCCCCGCAGGCATCCAATTTGCCTCTGACCTATGACCAAGGCACGGTGGCGGGATGAGCCCAACGCCACTGGATGTATATCAATAGATCGAGAGAGAGAGAGAGAGAAAACAAAGAGAGAACGAGAGAGAGAGAGAGAGATAAAACGAGACAAAGGGAAAGAGAGAGAGAGAGAGAAATAGACTGAGCGCGTAGGAAAGAGAGAGAGAGAGAGAGAGAGAGGATAATAATCACGGACCGCTCTCTAGGCGTTTGTCGAGGCCGCCACATTTTGACAAAAGACGCTGGAAAAGATGTACGATGGAAATTCCGTGAAAGCGGGCGGACACGGCTGGAAAAACCAGTGGGCGAACCCGAAAGAGATTGGATTTGGTGGCCAGGGCTGAGAGGACCTGAAGGAAACAGGCCAGGGCTGCCAACAGCCACCTCTTCCAGCTTCCCTGTAACATCTGGTCAGGTCATCAATCTTTTTGCCGGCGCAAGCTCTCCTGAGGAGGCGACAGTTGAAGAGAGACGGTCAAGCGCCGCCTGGGGCCTGCTTGACAGGGCCCGCAGTTAGCGGTCGCGTGCGGCCATGCTTTCTAGCTGCCCTCGTGCAGCGAGAAAGCTCATCATCGTACAGCTGTCCGCGCGAGTGTCTTCCACCCCCCGACCCTCGCGGACTTCCAGCCTACGCTACGCCCATGAGTCGGGGAGGCGTAAGACTCGGGTACGGGGGACCCGGGTCGGCCCGACGGGGGCCATCAGAAACATGACGAGACTCAATCTGAAATTTGACGCGGGCTCCCGCTGCAGACGTGCAACGAAGACGGGGCCGTCAAAATCCAGGACGCGCTCGTCAAAAAAAAAAGTCGGCAAACCCGAGTTCCGGCCTAGTCGAGTCTTGCGTTTCCCCGAAGGAGGCGCTGCCGGCAGGGAGCGCTGCCCCGGACAGGCCGCTCTCGCCCTCCACGCCGGAGACCTCGGGAGCGGCCAAGAGGGGGGTGTCCAAGAGAGGGGGGGGGTGCAAATCGTGACCGGCGGCATGTGCGCGGCCCAGCGGGGGGGCCAGGGACGTAATGAAATAAGAAGAGGCGCCATGAAATCTGGGGAGATATCATGGCCCCCGCCATGATATCCACCCCCCCCTAGTCATCACCCCCTCTTTGCCGCCCCCGACCTCCATGGAGACCATCTGCGCCCGGAGCCGCGCCAGAGCGCCGGCCGGGTCCGACAGGCGCGCGATGATGCCCTGCGCTGTCGGACTGCCGCACCGCGGGCCCCCACCGAGCGCGGGCGCGGGCACCTGCTCCGGATGGCACGCCGGGCCTGAGGGGCAACGTTCGAGGGGGACTGTAGCTCAAGGGGGGACGCGTCCAGCTGGAATCGGCGACACATCGCAGATGGGCCCCCGATCAAGGATCCGCATGCTCCTGGGCGGGGTGGGGCCGTGGGGCCCCTATCGGCCATGAATGGGCGTTTGGGGGATCGATGCAGCCCCCCCGAGCCTCTTTACCCCTATCGTTGCCCCCGAAGCTAAGCAGGGACCGACCGTCCCGGCATTCCTATAGGCCTACCAAGACATGTTCTCAGAACCCCAAGCTGTTCTAAGAACAAATGCTGTGTTCTTAGGACATGGGCCCGGTATGTTAAGACAAGACAGCCCCAGCAAAACCAAATGTTCTGAGAACATTTCGCGCAGACACCATAAGGCTCTCAGAACGTTGCTTGGTGGGCTGGTTGGGAAACCAGGACGCTTCGCCACTGCTCGAGAAGGGCCTCCGTCGAGACTCGGGCCACCTCTCGGCCCGAGAGGCGGCGGCGCCAGCCCGGCACCAGCGGCCTCTCGCTCCCTGGGCCGCGCTGCGGCGGCGGCCGCCTGCGGCTGCGGTGCCCTCGGGCATCTCGCCCGCGCCCGCGCCGCTGCCGCTGCTGGCTGCCCTGGCACCGCGCCGCGCTCTGCGGGCGCTGCGGTGGGCAGCGCGGCAGGCGCCGCGGCAGGCGCCGCGGCAGCCGCCACAACGGGCGCTGCAGCGTGCGCCCCCGCGACTGCCGCGGCGGGCAGTGCGGCAGGCGCCGAGGCGAGCACCGGCGCCGGCGCGAGCACTGACGCGGGCAGGGCAGCGGACGCCGCGGCCAGCGGCGCGGAGGACTCTTGGGCGGGCGCTGCAGGCACAGCGTGCGGCGCCGCCGCGGGCGTCGCCGAGGGCGCTGTGGCAGGCCACGCGGTAGGCTCCGCGGCGGGCGCCTGCAGCTGGGAAGAGGCAGAAGGCTTCGCGCCCGCTGGGCCTTCGTGCTGGGCCAGGGCCTCCTGCATCCCTGCCCTCGGCTCGCGGCTTGGTCGCTCGCTGCGGTGGCAAGGCCCTTGGGCCGGTGGGGTGGCCCTCGGCACTTCGGTGCCGGCCGGGGCCACCCTACGAGCCGCCTCGATGGAGATAAGCAGCGTCCCCTCGCTGTCAACATGCTTCAGCAGGTCGTCGATCTCGCAGACGGTGCTGCCTGGCAGGTTGTGGCCGTCCAGGCGGCCGAAAGGCCCCATCCAGTGCGCGCCCTGGCCCACCGCGAAGAGGAAGGGGCAAGTGATGCGGCTTGCCGCATGAGCGGATATCATCAGCGCAGCCGTCGTCGAGGTCCGCCGTCGGTTCTGTCGCCGCAGCTCGTCGTTCCAGGTCGCACCCTGGCTTTGGCCACCATGCAAGTGTAGGTGCAGCGACAAGTGCCTCGCTCCTGCTAGGGTGAACTGACTCGAAGAGACCACTGGGGCCGATGCCACCTGCTCCTTGAAGTTCTTCAGTCGCCACTCGTGCCGGGCGGTAACCTGGAACGCCTGGAAGAGTACCCCGCGCTGCAGCAGCTGGCGCAGAGCGGGCTCCACTGGAGTCGCCGCCGTGAGCTGGCCCTGCTCTGCTATTCGCAGCAACTCGCCAGAGTTCACGGCCAGCGCCAGGGCCTCCGCTCCAGCCACGGCGTTCTGCCCGCACAGCGCCACGCAAGCGGTGACCCTAGCGCTGCTGGCAATCACGTGGACCAAGATGTCATGGCCCCGCATGCCAGTCGCCTGCACGACGGCTTCGCCGAGGGCCTCGCCCAGCGACAGGGGCCAACCGCCAGCTTTGCCTGGACAGCGGCCGACTGCCCCTCGGAGCTCGCAGCGCACGAGGCCGCCGAGGCCCAGCGGGGCGCCCCCGCCCGCGCCCGCACCGCCCAGCGGCGTGCTCGCCGCGGGCGTGGCAGGCGGCCGCAGCGCAGGCCTGGCCCTGGGGGCCGCCGGGCTGCAGGCTGCGGCAGGCGGCCCCAAGGCCCCGCCGGCGCTGCTGGCGGCGCTCGGCGCGGGGCCGCGGGCGGCGGGCGGGGTGCCGACGAGGGCGCGGGCGGAGCCCCGCGGGCTGCCGGGCTCGGGCGCCTCCTCGCGGCCGCCCAGGGGCGCGCTCTGCGGCCGAGGCCGGCGCACCTGCTGAGGCAGCCGCGCGCGCCTGGGGCCGCCGACGGCGGGCCAGCCCGCGCCGCCAACCGCGGGGGCCACCTCCAGGGAGGCTGCCGCGGCACCCCCGAGGCCGCGGTCGTCCACGCCGTCCGTGCCGGCGGCGGCCAGCATGGCCGCCAGGGCCTGCTGCCGCCCGCCCGCCCGCGCGCTGGAAGGGCGCAGCCTCGGCCTGGCGCCCAGCAGCGGCCCGCCATGGCGCCTGGCCTCAGCTTGCCGCCTGGCAGCACCGCCGGGCGACCGGCGCGGCGCGGCCGCGTCCATGGCCGCGCCGATCCGCCTGGGCCACAGCCCTGGCGCGGCGCACTGCTGACGGCCTCGGCGACACGAGCCACAATGGCTTGAACACCGTGGTGGGCGCAGAATGCCCCGCCCAGAGTCCTACATCGGCGGCTGGGCGGGCGGCCTCGATGACCCTTGGAGACGGCTCGCCTCGCGCAACTTCCGTGCCATGACGACGCCGGCTTTGGCTTCCGACACCGCGCGGATCCTCCAACGCTGAACCATCGCGGCTCTCCGACGGGGCGGACCGTTCGATGTCGGCCGCTCCCGGGCCACACTCGACGTTCGGCCCGGAATGCCCGCGCCGGGGGTCGCCAGCGCGCGCGTCAGCCACCGTGCGGCGCGAACCCAAGGCCAGTGCGGCAGGGGGCCGGCCTGCCGAGGAGGCGGCGGGAGCCTCTCCGAGGCCCTGGCGCCCTCCAGGCAGCTCTCTCTCTCTCTCTCTCTCTCGGGGGCGCCGCGGGAGACCCTCTGAGAAGGAAGAGGGCGGCCTCTGCGAGCCTCCTCCTGCTGCTACTCCTCCTCCTCCTCCTTCTCCTCCTCCTCCTCCTCTTCCTCCTCCTCCTCCTCCTCCTCCTCCGTGCTGCAGCCGCCGCGCCACCCACAGGGAGAGGCGACCGCGAGGAGAGCCGAGGAGTCTGCTCGGCCATGGTGCGCCTCGGCCGCGGAGGGGCATCACCGACCTGGACCTGAGGAGCGGCCCGAAGCCTTACACCTCCAAAGCCTCGAGCCTATTCCTCCTCCTCCTCCTCCTCCTCCTCCCCGCCTCCTCCTCCTCCTCCTCCTCCTCCTCCTCCTCCGCCTCCTCCTCCTCCTCCTCATCCTCCTCCTCCTCCTCCCCCACCTCCTCCTCCTCCTCCTCCTCCTCCTCAGCCCTCCCTCCCAGCCCCCCCTCCCAGCCCTCCCAGGGACCCCTGCCAAGGCCAAAGTGGTCCTCATGTCTCCGCGCCTCGACTGCGGCCGCCCTCGGCGCGCCGCCGGCCTCCCGCGTCGCCCACCTTTTCGCGCACCGCGCCCCCGCGGCTGCGCGAAGCTAGCTCCGAGTCCTCGCGCCCCCGCCCTGGAGAAGGGCAGCGGCTCCGGCCCAGGCCGAGGTGCGCGAAGCGCGAGCACCTCCGCGGCCCTGGGGGCCACCTGGACGCTGCGCTCCCGTGCCGCCGCCGAAGAGGAGGGGCTCCCGGGCCCAGGCCGCGAGGCGCGCGGCGCGTGGCCACCTCCACGCCCCTGCGTGCTGCCTGGCCGAAGGTCCATGTATTCTCAAGTCGGGCGTGCCCCCCTACAGGCGGATTCTGGACGAAATGTAAAAAGATAGCCAAGACATGCTCCAGAATGGTCACAGCTAGGCAAAAACAGTCCTCAGACTATTTTTGTGTGGACTATTTCTGCACACTCCTCCTGCAGAAAGACACGCCCGACTCCACGCGCGGCGCGTGGCGCGTGGCCGCCTCCGCGCGCCCCTGCGGTGCTGCCTGGCCCCAGGCCCCTGCACTCCCCCCGGAGAGGCGGCGCGCGGGCGCCGCAGAGGAGGCGGTGCGCCCAGCATCCCTCCCTTCGGTCGTCGTCGTCACCGCCGCTGTGGTCGTCGTCGTCACCGCCGCTGTGGTCGGCGTCGGCGTCGTCGTCGTCGTCGGAGTCGTCGTCGTCGTCGGCGTCGTCGTCGTCGTCGTCGTCGTCGTCGTCGCCGCCGCTGTGGTCGGCGTCGTCGTTGTCGTCGTCGGCGTCGTCGGCGTCGTCGTCGTCGTCGTCGTCGTCGGCGTCGTCGGCGTCGAATTCCCTCGGAGGAAGCGACCCGCGGGAGCGCACCGGCGCAGGGCGCGTGCGCGGAGCCCCCGTCGTGGGCAGAGCCGTCACGGCGGGCGCTGCTGCCTTGGGGCCCCGAGGCCCCCAAAAGATCGCCCCGGTTCGAGGAGTCGGGCACCTCACGCTGCCGATGTTGAGACGCGCGGCATGCCGACGGCCCTCGCGATCCCGCCTCCCTTCCCCCGCCCACCCCCCCCTTGCCCCACGCCGCGCCTGTTCCCCGCCCCTCCCAACGCTGGGTGTCTGCGAGCATCATGGCGTACCCGCTGCCTTTCGGAGAGAGAGAGAGAGAGAGAGAGACAGAGGCGGAATACAAAGAAGGGCTCGACTGGAAGCAGACGGGCGGTGACAAAGTAAAAACGCAGAGTGTGCCCCTATGCAATTCGCGCCCTCACTGTCCGATGTAATTCCCTTCACCGGGAGTGTTCGGACGTGTATTGAATTCAAATAATGCCAACATAAATCCAACAGCAAACCGAACACGGTCTGGTATAATTCAAGCCCTCATGCTCCAACGGCATCTGCAATGCAACTCATAGCGACAGAAAATCACTCCCTCTGGCGAAGCATGCGGCAGACGCCCTCATGCTGGCAACGAGGTGTCGGTCTCGGATGATTCACGGTGTCCTGGAGTGCTGAAAGGAGGGTATCAAGGCAGCAACGTGGCTCTGTGTCAGCGCAGAGAGCACAGAGAAACCTATGTCTGCAGCGCCTCTCACAATCGCGAACGCGATGCCCGAGATGCATATCACACCAAACACATCCAGGGGCATCGCAATCCACCCATGCTGGTGGCCCGTCGCCGCATCGAAGATGACGCAGAAGAAGGTGATGAGAAACGCCATCCACAACAACACGACTCTTCTCATGTCCGCACGCTGGCCTGAGACACCGACCTCGGGATCCACGTTCGTCGCTTCATACCTTTCACGTCCGTGGCAAGTGCCTGTGCTTGTCCCCCAGTGCGCGTGATCTTCAACATTGTCAGTGCAGTGCACCAAGTTCTTGACGAACATCATGGCGTTCAGGCAGCTTCCTGAACACACAAGATCGAAGCAAATGCCCGCCAAACAAGCAAAGACGGCGGTCTGACACATGACCTCGAACACGTGTAGGTAGATCTGCCCCCACTTCGGCAGCCCACCGCCGTCTGCGATGATTTCTCCGAAGATGTCCCAAAGCCCCAGGACCAAGGTGAAGCCAGCGAGTGCAGATGCAACATACACTCCGCTGCCACGTATTCCGATGAAGGCCCTCTGCGTGTAGCTCGCCAACTTGCCGTGCCCCACGGAAACCGCAACCTCCCAGGCGAGCCCAGCGAGCGCAATGGACACGAGGCAGCGACATATCCCTTCTGTGAGGCCAGGGGCCCAATCTAAAAAGGTGCCTACCTCTTTGCAATCCAAACCACGTTTTCGGCGTCTGACCTCGTCGACACCACAGCGCCAGTGGAACACGCCATCTGTGACGCCCAGGCCTACTGCGATGCTCCACGACAATGCGGTCTTTACCCAAGCATTGGGCTGTGTGTTTGGTGCAGGCTCCTTCATGCGAGGTACCAAGGAACACCCTGATGCGACTATTAGCACTTGAGCCCAAATGGCAGCGGAATCATCTATGTGGACTTCTAATGGCCCAAAGCCAGCTCCAGGACCCTCGGCTTGCGGCCCCTCGAGGACCACCCAAAGTTCTCCAACGGGCGCCACTCATGGCCCCGTGAGAGGCCCTCAGCAGGCGCTTCGAACGAGAGAAAGCATGACTCGTTCTCGGCCTTATTACGATTGAGTGTTCTTGCTGGCCTCCATACGGTCTCCGAGCCTCGGAGCTCTCCCCGAGAGCGCGTCATTTGCTTCTTCTGTGTGTGTGCCTGTGTCTGCGTCTGTGTCTGCGTCTGTGTGCGGTCGAGCACTCGCGCTCTGACCTCTTCGGCCAGTAGCCTGACTTCGCCGCATTGCGGCGCGCGTGGCAACAGTGTGTGTGTGTGTGTGTGTGTGTGTGTGTGTGTGTGTGTGTGTGCGTGCGTGCGTGCGTGCGTGCGTGCGTGCGTGCGTGCGTGCGTGCGCGCGCGTGTGTGTGTGTGTGTGTGTGCGTGTGTGTGGAGGGGTCTCCAGTCCTCCTGCGTTGCGCAGCGTATCGCCATCCTCGCCATGGTACCACCGTCGCTCGGCAGGTGTTCTCCCGTCCCACGTCCTCGCGCTACGTCCCCACCTGGGAGGCCCAGCGTCGGGCGGCGCGTCAACTCTCCGCCGTCCACGCTCGGATGGTGACGCCCCTCCTCCATGCTCTCGCGCTACGTCCTCGTTTGGGAGGTCCAGCGTTAGGTCGAGCATGTCCCCCTACAGGCGGATTTTGGACGAAACATTAGAAATAGTAAAAAAAACACAAAGCCAGACATTGTCGACAAACCGTCCCCAGACTATTTTCTTTTGACTATTTTTGAATACTCCTCCTGTAGAGGGACACGTCCGACTCAAGTCCAGCGTCGGGCGGCGTGTCACCTCCCCGCCATCCACGCCGGGATGTCTTGCTGCTGCGGGCATGTGTTGGATTCCGAGCGATCCCGCCTGAGGGCCTGGCTGCGCGTGCACAGGCTCCGACCTCACTTCGCCTCGACGCTGCGCGCGAGGCCGCGACCGCGAAAAAGCTTGTGTGTGAAATCGGGCCTGTCCCTCAACAGGAGTAATATGCAAAAATATCAAAAATAGTCTGGGGACGACTTTTTGAATCTTGTTTGGTCATTTTGGGGTATGTTTTGAATATTTTATTTTCGCTCGAGATCCGCCTGCAGGGGGACACGCTCCACCAATTTTTTTGTTTTGTGTGTGTGTGTGTGTGTGTGCGCGTGCGTGTGTGTGTGTGTGTGTTTTGGGGGGGGATTGCCTCCCGGTACTTCGCCTCCGGGTTCCTGTTCAAGGCGTTCCTTTGCATGCACTTCGCTTTCGGCACTGCCTGATTCCGGGGCTTCGCCCTCTCTTGGCCTTGACGTGAGGCCCCTCCTTCTGTTTTCCTTTCTCTGTTAATTAAAGCTGTGCGCGGCCCGCTTAGCTTCGACCGGAAGAGGCTCGCTCTCGACCCGCGGATCAAAAAAAGTGTTTGGGGGGGAGGCGCCCCTACCTGCAGCTCCGTGCTGCCGCTGTCTGCCTGCCCCGCCCGCCTCCCACTTCGGGACTGCGTGCACTGCTTCCTCTCGCCGTCGCCTCTGCCTCTGGGCTGCGGCCGGCCTCCCGTCGCCTCGGGTCTCAGCCGGGCCATTGCTCCACGTCTTGTCTTGGCGGTGCGCAGAAGGGGGTGGAGGGAGGGGGGAGGGCTTCTTAGAAGGAGGCTGCTTCTTAGAAGGCGCCGGCCTCACATCTAGAGATAAGGCCCGCGCCTTCTAAGAAGCAGGGGTGCTTCTAGGAAGCCGTCCCCCCTCCCCCCCCCCCTCTGCGCGTAGCAGATTGTCGGTGTCGCTCGTCGGGTGCTGCCGTCGCCGTCCTCGGCCGCTGCCTCCGTCTGCTCACTCCGCACACGCTGCTCGGCTGGCAGTGCGCGGTCGATCCGCTGCGGCCCCCCCCGTCCGAGGGCCTGGCCGCGCGCGCGGCAGCTCGGTGCCGAGCTGCCCTGCTTGCTCCGCCTCGTCGGCGCGCGCTTTAGGCCGCGACCGCCCAAAAAGCAGGTGCGCGTGCTCGTGTAGGGTTTTAGAGCTGTGCGTAGCCCACCTAGCTTTTAGCGGAAGAGGTTCGCTCTCGCCCCGCCGACCAAAAATGCGCTCGTGTAGGGGACGGAGGAATGACATCAACATAAAAACTCGGAGGTCCGCGCAGATTTCTCGGATCTGCGCTGGACCCCCCTGGCGGCGCCTCCGGCACCGCCCCTGGCGCGCTCCGCGGTCCAGCGCCGATCCGAGAAATCCGCGCGGACTTCCGAGTTTTTATGTTTATGTCATTCTTCGTTCCCCTATGTGTGTGTGTGCTTGTGTGTGTGTGTGTGCGTGTGCGTGTGTGTGTGTGTGTGTGTGTGTTTTGTGCGTCTGTACGGGCGCGGCTCCAGCGTCTTCCCGCCGCGTGAGCCGGGCCGGCTTGCGCGCGCTTCTCCGGCCCCGTCCTGCGCCGCGCCGCCCCGCGCTTGGCCGCGACGCCAACACGTGTGTGTGTGTGTGTGTGTGTGTTGGTTGTCACCTCGCTGCCATCCACGCCCAGACGTGCGGCAAGGCGCACCTCCTTCTGCTCATGCCACCGCGTCGGGCAGGGCGCCCAGTTGGCGTGTCACCTCCCGGCCTTCCACGCCCAGATGTGCTGTATGACCGCAGGTGCCGCGGAATCCGAAGCGATTCTTGAGGGCCCGGCCGCGACCCCGCGCTTAGTACTTCTACTGACTCTGCCTCGTCGCTGCGCGCGAGGCCGCTTCCGCCAAAACGTGTATGGGTGTGTGTGTGTGTGTGTGTGTGGGTGTTGCGTCCTCTTCGACGGTTTGGCCTCACCTCTTAGTCTCTACCTGCTTTGTGATGCTCATGGGGTCCTCTCAACTCGGCTGCTTGCCGCGCTCCTTGCTGGACTTGCCATCCTGCTCTTCGTCGTCATTGGTTCCACGCCTGCGTGGGGCAGCCTCACTAGAGTGCACCTTTCTCCTCGCTGTCCACGCCCGGGCAACGTATGGTGCCCTCCTCTCATGCGGCCATGGCGGGTCCGTCCCATGGTCCCGCGTGTTCACTCACTGCCATCCACGCCTGGATGGTTGATGCCAGTAGGCTACATACCAAGCCATGTTGAGGGCCGGCCGCCGCGCGCGCTTCGCTGTCAGCTGCACTTTCTCTGCCTCGTCGATGCGCGCGAGGCCGCGATCGCCCCCCCCCCACAAACAACCCAACACTATGTGTGTGATCGGAGTCCCCTTGTTGGGACTTGCTCCGCTGCCTGGAAGCGTCCGCCGGCCCTCGCTGGCCCTCGGGCCTCCCGCGGCCGCGGCCCCGCCGCCCACCCGCTGCTCCGGCGGCCGCCCGTTCGGCGGTCGCCGCCCCGCCGCTGCTCTCCGCGGCCCCTGCTTGGCGCCGCCCGCTTGGCGCCGCCCGCTTGGCGGCGCTGCCCCCGCCCTCGCCGCGGCCCGCTGGCGCCGCGGCCCCGCTGCCCGCCCCTGCCCCGCCGCTGCCCCGCGAGGGCCCAGCGGACTCGCTTCCTGCCTTCGCCTGCGCGCGCGCGCCAGCGGCGACCTCCGGACGGCAGGAGGCTCGCCTGCCCCGCCCGCGACGCGCAAAAGTAAGCGCGTGTGTGTATTAAAGTGTGTGTGTGTGAGAGAGTGTGAGTGTGAGTGTGAGTGTGAGTGTGAGTGTGAGTGTGAGTGTGAGTGTGAGTGTGAGTGTGAGTGTGAGTGTAAGTGTAAGTGTAAGTGTGTGTGTGTGTGTGTGCGTGTGTGAGAGAGGAAGAGAGAGGGTGTTGCACTTTGCTAGCTCGTACATGCTAGTCTCTCCGAGCGTGCTTCCCGGCTCGAGGGTCGTCTCTCTCAGCCAGTCGACAGGTGTCTCGTCTTGCACTCCCGATGCGTAGCAAGATCCCCACTAGCACGGCTAATCAATCTCCATCCTCCTCCCCGGGCTCCTTCTCCCGCTTGCGCTCCCGCGCGCGGGGAGGGGGCGGCGGAGGAAGAGGAGAAGAAATAAGAGGATGATGATGATGATGAGGAGGAAGAGGAGGAGGAGAAGGCTGAGGAGGAGGAGGAAGAGGAGGAGGCGGAGGAGGAGGAGGAGGAGGAGGAGGAGGAGGAGGAACAGTCCTCGTCTCCCCATCCTCCGTCTGTTCCTTCTCCCCCCCCTTCGGAGGTCCCTGGAGGTCCCCAGGGGCCTCCGACGCAAATCGCAGATGAACGCCAAACCGACCAAACATTTCGGTCGTCGACCGCCTCCTCCTCCTTCTCCTCCTCCTTCTCCTCCTCCTTCTCCTCCTCCTCCTCCTCTTCCACCTCTCCCACCTCCTCCTCCTCCTCCTCCTCCTCCGATATTCTCTGCGCTTTAAGATGGTCGGGGTGGGGAGCGACCGCGGCTCATCTCCGTCCAGAGAGCACGCTCACGCCCTCAACTGAAGAGACCCCCGCGTTCAGAACACAACAGAATGGGCATGTGCTGGCAGGAGTGGCGCTCAGCCTCCTCCCGCCTCCCTCTCCTCTTCCTCTTAGCCTCCCCCTCTCTCCTCCTCCTCCTCTCCTCCTCCTCCTCCTGCTCCTCCTCCTCCTCCTTCCAACTTCCCCTCTTCCTCTCAACCTTCTCCTCCTCCTTCCCCTTCTCCTCCTCCTCCTCCTCCTCCTCCTCCTCCTCCTCCTCCTCATCTCCTTCTCCTCCTCCTCCTCCTCCTCCTCGTCCTCTTCCTCCTCCTACTCCTTCTCCTCTCCTCCCCCCCTCCCCACCCCGCCGCGCCTGCGACTCCTGGAACGGCTCTTCCGGCCCGCGCGCGAGCCTGACCGGCTCTTGCGGCCCATCCTTTACCAGCGCCGCCGCCTACGGCAGAGCTCCCTCGTCGTCGCCGCCGCCGCCGCCGCCGCCGTGGTCGCCATCGCCATCGCCGCCGCCGCCGCCGCCTGCTCCTCCCCCTCCCTCCCTCCCGCTTCTCATCCGTAGCCCCATCCTTCTCTCCCCTGTACTTCCCTGCGGCATCTCACCCGCTGGACCACTGCCAGCCGAGAGCACACTCTGCGCTGCTGCCGCCGCCGCTGCGGCCGCCGCCGCCGCGGCCGCCGAGCGGTCGAAATCGCCACACCCGCGACCGCTCTCCGACCACATCACCCCCCCGCTTCGCGCCTCGCGCGCCACGATTCGCAGTCAAACCCGCGCCCTCGCGAGGCCACCTGGGAGGAGCACGGCTCCCTGGCCGAGGCTGCAGCCATCAAAATCGTCTTGGCGCCCGCGGGGGTGACCTCCAACAGACCCACCGCCCACCCACACTTCGACCGATCCGCCGCCCGACCCGCTCGGGGCCTGCGCGGGTCCCCCGGGAGGGTCTCCAGAGGCCCCGTCCCCAGAGACCCCCGTGAAGGACCAGAGACGCCCGAGCACCTCGCTCCTCGAGCCACGGCCCGACGGGGTCACCGGCCGGCTGCGCGGCGGTACCCCGAGCAATCCCCGAGGGCCTCGGGGCCCGTGGCGGGCCCCTCTTGTGGAGAGCTTCCGGGGACAAGCAAGCGGCGAGGAAGCTTCCGGGGACAAGCAAGCGGCGAAGGCACTTCTGTCAGGGCCCCTTCCTCCAAAACGCGTTTTTTTATGCTCACCTGGACCTTGCGCCGAAGGGGCCCAGCCGGGCTGGCCGCCAGGGCCCGCCAGCCGTTGTGTCGGAGCCGACGAGCGCGCGAAGGGCGCGAGGCCGTCGCGCTCCTACCAAACCTCGATCCCCTCGGTCCCTGGATGCCTCCGGAAAGCCCAGGGGGAAACAAACAGCTCCCGATAGCTTCCCGATCCTCCACCTCCCGGAAATCCGACATCGCGAACATATTGGCGGCATCATAGAATTACCCTGGCGACGCACCCGACCCCTGGGCAATGCGGGGCAAGAGTAGCTTGGGAGATTTGACGAGAAGGCGGCGACGTGACATTCGAGTAGGGGATCGACTACAGAATTGATTTGCCCCAGAATTGAGTTTTCCTGTCGAATCCACTGGCAATTCATAGAACTTTCGCAGATCAACCAATGGTTGACGTGTTTTTTTGAAGAGTCGACGTGAGAATCAAGTGGGGTAAATCAATTTTGTAGTCGATCCCCCAGTCGAGACATGGACGCATATACTTCTGCGAGCGGCATTCGGAAGGTTCGCAGGTCCCCAATCAACGTAAACAGGATGAGTAACTAAGTGAACCCCTGAGTCACTAAGGAAGACGCAGCGTCCAAAAGGAGACTGTGGGCAAGGGGCTTGAAACGTCGGCGGGGCAGCAACAACATGACATGGCCGCCCAGGGACGGCGAGGTCCCGCTCAGGTCCGCGCAGTGCCTCACTCCGCGTCAATCCAGACCCAGGTCAATCAGGCCTTGCGGACTCCTGCAAGATCCTGCACCCGAACCCGGATGAATGCGAAGGATCCTGCAGGATCCTGCAGGATCCTGCACCCAAGCCCAGGTCAGTGCGACCCTGGCCCTGCAGGATCCTGCAAAATCTGGCGCTCTGGCTGACCCCCGCTTGCATTGACCCCCGTCTCTTGAGCCCCGATCGGCATCGAATCGGATCGGCCCCGCCAACCTCGATACCGAATCGCATCGATCGGATCGAACTGGACCCCGACACCACGGCGGAAGGCCTCGACCCCACCGGGGCCGGACGTCGCCCTCCGCCGAGGCTCCGGGGCCCCCTGGACTCGGGGCGGCGACGCCCCCAGGATGAAAAGACTGCAACGCCGGGATCTCATCGTCATCCTCGACCCCTTCCCAAAGGCCGTCCAGGAGGGAGGAGGGAGGAGGGAGGAGGGAGGGGGGAGGAGGGAGGAGGGAAGGGGGAGGGCGCGACCGGACGGCAGGGATGCCGCGCCCCCTCGGGCGCGCAGGCAGAAGCCGAGGCTGGAAGCGCATGGCCCCACGGCCGCAGGCCGAAGCTGGGCTGCCGACCAGCCACAGCGGGGGGAGCTGTGGCCCTCACCCCCCCCTGGGGGAACCCATCGCATCGACGATCTCTCGAGAGGGGCCTCGAGAGCGATGGGTCCCCCAGGGGGTAAGGGCCACAGCTCCCCCAGCTGTGGCTGGCCTGGGCTGGGAGGCAAGGAGTCGGGCCCCCCTTTGGGAGGCTTCTCAGCCTCGTGGTGCGGCATGGTTATGCGGCGAGCGAGGGGGGGAAGTGAGAAGGAGAAGGCCTTCTCAGAAGGCCCGGAAGTCCCCTGGCCTTCTGAGAATTTTTCTGAGCCTTCGCCGAAGACAGAGAACAAACTTCTCAGAAGGCTGGAGGGCTTCTGAGAAGCCCCGCCGCCTTCTGAGAAAGCCTTCTCCTTCTCATTTCCCTCCCTCGCTCGCCGCCGAATGGTTGTGCAAACCGAGATCGGGCCAGGAACCGATAGCGGATAACCGAAAAGCCGGCCGAGACTGCGGGCCGCTCCAGATGGGCCCAGCAGCGCGCGGCAGCGACGCCTGCCAGCCGAACGAGCCAAACCGACCCGGACGCAGTCCGACTGTCGGGGGGAACGAAAAGGACGGGATAGCAAAGGGTAGGGTAGAGACTCAGCTCACGTAGCTGATTTTCCCAGCGCTTCCTGGCGCCGGGAGGCGCCCATGTATCGAGGAATGGGCCCGGCTGCGGGGCCGAAACCAGCTGCACGCAGCAGATTTCGTACCCCCCCCCTTCCCTACCCCCCCCCCTTTCGTTCGGCCCGAGACTGCGACGCATCGGAGCCGACCAAGCCGTGGACGCAACGTCCTCGGCATGAAGCGAGCGGGTCCTGAGGAAGACAGGTCCTAGATCGGGGAGACGTGAGACTCGGGTACGGGGGACTCGGGTTGGGCCCGACGGGGCCATCATAGAAATGACGAGACCCAATCCGACATTTGACGCGGGCTCCCGCTGCAGACACTCCACGAAAACGGGACCGTCAAAATCCAGGACGCGCTCGTCAACAAAACGTCGGCAAACCCGAGTTCCGGCTTACTCGAGTCTTGCGTTTCTCCGAAATCCGACTGCGACGCATCGTTAGGAGGCAACTACTGGCAAGTCTTCGTCGGAAAGATTCAAAAGGATTAAGCACCATTGGGGGGCTGTTACGCCGGAGCGGGCCTCGGATTAAGCGGGATTATTAAGCCGGATCAAGCGGGATTGAGCGGGATCAAGCCGGACTGAGCGGGATTGAGCCGGATTGCGCTGGATTTCGGACCAGGGCAAAATCAGAACTTTACCTCCCAGGAGTTGCATCCGACGCATCGGAGCCGATCGAGCCGTGAACGCAACGGCCTCGCCAGGAATCGGCTACACGCAGGAGTGACCCTGGGTAAGAGTGACCTTTGGTGCGTGGCTTTTGAGGGGGCCGCGGGGGGACCAAACACAGGCGCGCAAGGCGCTACTATCGCATCGCGTTCGGCGCTCGGGGGGCCCCACTGGGCCCGCACCAAAGGCCACTCCGGCGAAAGGTCACTCTTACGTCTAATCTCGGGAGCGGCCAAGAGGGGGGCGTACAAGAGGGGGGGTGCAAACCATGGCCAGCGGCATGTGCGCGGCCCAGGGGGGGGGGGCGGGGACGTAACGAAATAAGAAGAGGCGCCATGAAATCTGGGGAAATATCATGGCCCACGCCATGATACCCCCCCCAAGTCATCGCCCCCCTCTTTGCCGCCCCCGATCATCGAAGGAAGCGAGCGGGTCCCGAGAGGGAGACCGGTCCTGGACTCCGGGGCCGCCCCCCAAGAACTGCCTTGCGGTGCCCCGCGAGCCGTGGCTGACCGCCAGCGCCCGTGGAGTGCTCCAGGAGGCCACAAAGACAGTGGGGACATTTTTTTGGGGATATTTTCTAAACTCTTCGCAGGCGCCGGGGCGCCCTTGTCCAATTCGAGCGTGCACGGCGCGGGTGGGGCATCCAGGGGCGAGCACTCAAAGCCATGGCTCGTCCTCCTGGGGCCCGCCGCCCCAAGGTGGGGGCACTGGATCAGGAATCCAGAGCCTCGAGGCCAGTGGAAAGCCAGTCGTGGATTGACTGTGGATACCACCGCCACCATCATCAGATAAGGAACCCTCCAGGGTCTGAGCCCGCCGCTCTTGGACAGCCCCTGGGGCCCGGCGAGGGCCCCTCGATGGAGGCAGGAGGCGGTGGACCCCGCCAAGGTTTGTGAGAGCCGCTGCGCTGGAGGTCGGTCCCCAGACCCCCGACGTCATGATGTTTTCATTGCGTCGACCCCTGGAGGTCTCGACCCACTCCCCTGGACCGGTTTTTCAGCCCGAGTTGTTTTTTGACGGCCCCGAGGGCCGGTAAGGGCCCCCAGAGGCCGAAAAGAACCCAAAACCTGCCGTCGTGATCTTTTCCTTGCCCGAGGGTGTCTGGGCCTGGTGGCTCCCTCGCAGGACACGCTCGCCGCGCGGCGGCGCCCGCCTGCGCCCCGCGAGCTACCCGTGCGCCAGGAGCATGCCGCGGCGGGCCCCGCGGCGGGGCGCGGCCGGCACGGGGTCACCAACATGCAAAGCTGCGCCCCGGGGAGGCGGGCGGCGGGCGGCGAGGCCTCCCGGGCGGAGGAGGAGGAGGAGGAGGAGGAGGAGGAGGAGGAGGAGGAGGAGGAGGAGGAGGAGGAGGAGGGGGAGGAGGAGGAGGAGGAGGAGGAGGAGGAGGAGGAGGAGGAGGAGGAGAAGGAGGCCCCGGGCGGACATGCTCCCCAAACAACCTATCTACCCAGGCATGGTCGCGTCGTGACAAGAAGCGGGGCGGGACATTGTTCTCCGTTGTCGGCCCCGGGGGGCCCGCGCCGGGCCTCGGGGCCGTCAAGAGACGACGCAGGAGGAAAGACTGGTCCCGGGGAAAGGGTCGGGACTTCCAAGGATACCGTCCTGAAAAAATCAGGATGTCGCATGTCTGGGTAGATCCCCGATCGTATCCCAACCATCCTGTGGTGTTGGATCTTCATTTTGAAGAGACGGCGCCCCGCGTCTCTCCTCCTCCTCTTCCCTTCCCTTCTCCTCCTCCTCCTCCGGTTTTTTCCGATCCAAGCGTTTTCCTGCGACTTTGGCTTCTCGTGTCGGCTACCAAGCCCTGGGGCCATCGAACATGTACCGGGGATGAAAGCCCCCTCCGGGGGAAGTGGTCGAGACCTCTGGGGCCGCGGGTTGAAAATCATTCAGGCGGCTGTGAGGGAACTTGTCCGCAAGGCTTCTATATCATTTTTTTGTTTTCTCTCTCGTTCTCTCCATCTTCTCGCTCTCTCCCCCCGCACCTGTTTATCTACTGTGTATGTATGCATAGATATGCACACATGGAAAAGTACCTTTCTTCGAGCGCCCGGTGAGGGAGCCAGGGCATCCCGAAACCGGTGGTCCATCGGGCCCCCCGTCGGTGGGCCCCCCCACTGGCTGTTCTATGTTTTCAAAGGCAACGATAGGGGGGGGGATAGGCAAAGGGGGGATGCATCGACCCCCAATCGCCCATTGATCGCCGATAGGGGCCCGATAGCCCCAGCCTGCCCAGGAAGGTGCGGACTCACTATCTGGGGCCTATCGCCGATCGATCGGCGATGCATCGATTCCAGGTCGATGCGTCCCCCCCTGTCCCTGTCCCCCCCCGCCCCCATCGTTGCCCCTCGTGCCTCCAGGGCGCCATTCTGTTCAGCCCCAGCGCCGTGCTCTGAGATGCCTGGCCTCTCGGGGGCCGTGCTCGGGCCCCGGGGGCCGTGACGAGTGCCCCTCGGCAGACGCACGGGCCCCCCGGGGAGCGGGGGCGCGCGGGTGGAGAGCGGCCCAGCCCGCCGGAGGTCCGGCGGGCAGCGCGCAGAGGAGCGAGACACCCGAGGGGTGTGCCGGACGAGGATCGGGGGTCGGAGCAGGGGACCGAGCCCTGGGACATCTCTGGCCCTGGGCCTCGAGAGGTGCCGGGCAGCAGCGGGGGTGGGCCAGCTCAAGTGTGAGAAAACATTCAGGTGTGAAAAAACAGGTGCGATAGGAAACAATTGTGATAACACACAAGCATTTTTAATATAAAAAGAGATATCACATGTGTTAATTGTTTGTTTACTTACTATTATTATTCTTCTTATCATTCGTATTACTCTTCTTCTTCTTCGTCTTCTTCTTCTTCTTCTTCTTCTTCTTCTTCTTCTTCTTCTTACTTATCTAAAACTCACACTGTATCGCGCTTGCTTGGGTGGGGCAGCAGCGATGTGGAATTGGCGACACATCACCGATGCGCGACAGGCCCCCGACCCCTCCGAGCCCACCCGCCCCGCAGGCGGCCCCCGCAGAGGCCCCCGGAGCCTCCGAGGAGCTCCGTGGGCCCGCGACGGGAGACCACCCCGGAGGGGCCGGAGCAGACGGCGGCGGAGGGTCGCCCCGCATCGCCGATGCATCGGCGGCGTCGGGACGGACAGAATCGGGCTCCGAAGGCGCCGCACCGCTGACGCATCTTGGAGGCTGATGGGCCCCCCGCCCTGCCCGGTCGGTCAGCGATCTGCCCTTTTTTCCAGCTCTCGAGAGGGCGTTGCGCCCGCACTTTTTGCGGACCTGCGCCCGCTGGGTTTTGCCCTGTGTCGATTTCACCAAACGGCGTTTTGCTGATGGGGGCTCAGTCCACCCCCGAGTATCGGCAATGCGGCGCGATCCTCCTATCCCACCCGCTCTGGTGCCATTTTGGGCGGCTTGGATGAACATCTGCCATCATGCCGCGAGACACAGAATGGAGCATCCTCATGTCAATGCGTGCTCTGAAACCGAGCGTGTTGCAAAACGTCAAGGGTCCCGACCATCCCCAAGAGCTCCATGATTTCTAGGCGCTCCTTGGGCTGCTCGCTTGACTTTTCAGAGGCCCTGGACGCGTGGTTCGGACTCCACGCTTCACACATGTCCTAAAATTGCCCCAAGGACTGCCAGAGACCGTTCTGGGGCTCTTTAAGGGGCCCATCTTGGAGACCTGGGGGCCCGGCCCGAGAGGCCAAAGAGCCCACAGGGTTCGACTGGCCAATGCCCAGGGCGATGCCTGCAGCAAACGTGATCCTCCTTCCACCTTCCCTCGCCCGCGCCCTCTCCCCCCTCCTCCTGCGAGGCAAACGGGGAGGACACCCGAGCACTCCCCCACAACCCGAAAGACTCTAGAATGCAGAGTTACCCTCAACTGCCAGGAGTGCTAGACAGTAGCCCTCCATGCCTGCAGACCTGCAGTCATCGCTCTACCAGAAAGAACGCTCAACCAGGAACAAAACCCTCTCTGGCCCCCCAAATGCCTGAATGCGCGAGGGGCGCTGGAGGAGCATGCGTGAAACAACATAAGGAATAGCGAGCCCCCTCCGAACCCGACGTGTTCCTTATTCCAACGTCTAGACTGTATCCGCACTGTTTGAAACCTCGACTGCACTGAAATTCAAACAGCCGGATGTTTTTTTGAGCCCTCCTGGAAGGTTAGGAGTTTTCCCCTAAATAAGCCCTGGGAGGGCCCTGGGAGGAGGAGGGAGGAGGGGGGAGGAGGGGGGAGGAGGGGGAGGAGGGGGGGAGGAGGGGGGAGGAGGGGGGGGGGAGGGAGGAGGAGGGAGGAGGGAGGATGGAGGAGGGAGGAGGGCATGATGATGATGATGGATGATGATGATGATGATGATGATGATGATGATGATGATGATGATGATGATGAATGATGATGATGATGATGAGCGCAAGGAGGAGGAGGAGGAGGAGGAGGAGGAGGAGGGGGGGGGGGAGGGGGAGGGGGGGAGGGGAGGGAGAGGAGGAGGAGGGAGTGGAGGTCCTCGGAGGCCTCTGGCCCCTGGAACGAACGGCCCCCGCCGTCGCCATCCACCCCCCAAAGGGCCCAAACCACCCACGGCTCTGGATCCCCGATGCTGCTGCTGCTGCTGCTGCTCCTCCTCCTCCTCCTCCTCCTCCTCGTCCTCCTCCTCGAGCCGTCTCCTCCTCCTTCTCCCCCTTCCTCGCCTCCTCCTCCTCCTCCTCCTCCTCCTCCTCCCTACCAGTCCTAAACATTCCCACTGCATGGTAACCGACGGATAGCTCCGATAGGCATTTGTCATCCTCCTCCCCTCTCTCTCTCTCTCTCTCTCCTCTCTCTCTCTCCTCTCTCCTCTCTCACTCTCTCTCTCCTCTCTCTCTCTCTCTCTCTCCTCTCTCTCTCTCTCCTCCTCCTCCTCCTCCTCCTCCTCCTCCTCCTCCTCCTCCTCCTCCTCCTCCTCCTCCTCCTCCTCCTCCTCCTCCTCCTCCGTCTCCTCCTCCTCCTCCTCCTCCTCCTCCTCCTCCTCCTCCTCCTCCATCCTCATCCTCTTCCTTCTCCTCGTTCTCGTCCTCGTCCTCCTTCTCCTCCCCCTCTTCCGCAAGTTAGGAGAGGGAGGGAGGGGGGAGGGAGGGAGGGAGGGAGGGAGAGAAGCGGGAGCGGTAACCCCCGCACGGGGGCGAGCTCGTCACCTTAGTCTTCGAGACAGGGGGCAGGCCCAGCGAAGAGGCAGCCAGCTTCGTCCGCAGCTACGGAGCGGGCCTCGATGACGGCGAGCGTTCCGAGCTGCTGGGCGGCTTCTGGCGGCAGACCAGCAGAACCCTCCAAAAGGGTAACGCTGAGATGCAACTGAGCGCGCTCGGACGCTGAGCCGCGAGCCGCCAGCCCCCCCACAACTGCTACCATAGCCAACACGACCAGCACCACTGTCTGGACCACAGCGACCACCACCAACGGCCTCACCACCGCCCTGGCGACCACGATCGCTACCAGAGGCCACGAACCCCACCGCGACAACCACGACTCCCGCGACCACCGCCACGAGAAGGAGGATGAGGAGGAGCAGGAGGAGACGAGGCAAAGCGCTCGGAAGGCGTGTGCTGGCCCTACATCCAGTGGGCTGCCCTCAACTGCGAATCTTCTGGATCTGGGGGGGCACATCGGAGGAGGCGGAGGTGGCGGAGGAGGAGTCCGTCTTAGGAGGAGCAAGGCCAACTACACGCAAGAATGGCACCAGCCCACAAGCAAGACCGGCCTCTGGCGCGCGGCCGGCCAATCACAAGCGCACAGGCCGCTGCTGCCGCATCGCGCTCGGCGAGCGGGGGACGCCATTGGGCCCACACCAGAGGTCACTCCGGCGAAGGGCCACTCCTGCGTGCAGTCGATTTGGACGCCCGACATGGGTATGGAACAAAAAATTGTACAATGCCAAGCAGCACGTGTTGTCCCAAACCAGCAGCGACCGCCGTTGGGCAGGGGGCCTTCTGCCTCACGTGGGCACAGGCCGAGGCGCCGCGGACAGCGAGTCCTGTTCAAAATGACCAGGAACTGCTGTTGGGCATTATTGTACTCATCCTTTCCGTACCCATTTCGCTCGTGCTGCTGCTGGATCGGGGGAGGACCGCCGAGGCCGACGCGACCCCTCCCGGCCGCGCCTTTTCTCCCGACGCGGCTGCCGAGGAGTCCTTTGCCCCGCGCCGCTGCCTCGGGCGCGGCTAATCCCGAACGACGACGTCCCTGGCGCAGTCGGGCGTCGGGCGGCCCCCAGAGCTATGATGTTCCTGCCTGCTTTAGCCCCGATCACCAAGAACAAAATCGAGCACACGAAAAAAACGGAACTCCAGGGGTGTTCACGTGCCGGGCCCTGGGAAGCACTCATCCGACACTGTTTCGACACTGTTTCGACACTTTTCCGGGTGCTCGAAATCATTTTTGGAATGTGGTCCTCAAGTAGGATGGGGGCAACATAACCCCAAAGCCTCCCTTCCATCCTTGATCGAGGATTGCCGTGCCGAGTCGTAATTCCTCGAGGGAGGCCCCCCCACAAAGGGCCTACGTTCACAGACACACAGCGGGCGGGATGGCCTGGGATACACGTGCTGAGCAACAGGCGCGCAAGCAGAACCGGATCGTCCGACGCTGACTGGGCCGCCGCTTCTGAAGAGTCCGCCACCGTGCCTTCAACACGCAGTGGAGCGCCCCAAGGCTCATACAATTGTGCGTCGTAGAAGGGCAGTCGTTTTCGTGTCGGCGTGAAAGAGATGATAAAACGCCCGGCCCCCAATATGCCAACAAATCCTTTGCACTCCTTTTTTTAACCCCCATCCCAGTTCACGCTGAGTTCTTTAAGTTTCCTGTCTGTTGGGCAGATCGCCCCTCCCGTGATAGAGGCCGCGTGGCTAGGCTCGTGAGGAAAAGGGCAGAGCAGTTATGGGGGAGGCGCCCACCTACCACGTGGCGTGCCTGGCATCAAACAGATCCTGGGCACTCCTGGAATGTGTCGGCACGCGCAGGGCAAGCTCCAGGGAAGCCCAACACGATTCCAGGAGTGCCCCGAGACGAGCCAAGAGGGCTTGACGAGACCCCCAAGACGGTCCACGTGCCCCTGGTCGCCCGACGGTCGCTCCAAGACGCCCACTGTGGCTTGCAGACGGCCCAGGAGGCCCCCAAGAGGCCCCAAGAGAGCTCCAAGAGGCCTCCCAAGAGGACCTCGAGAGGCTAACCTCATTAATCTTCCTCAAGTTTTTGAATGATTTCAACATTCTCGCGTTTTCGGGGTTCCGACACTCTAAGACGGCCCAAGAGGCCTCCAAGATCGGCCCCAGACGGCCCTCTGGGGGCTTTCAAGTTGACACCCAGAGGGCTCAACCAGGCCCCAGGACGGCCCAAGAGGCCCCCAAGACGACGGCTCCAAGAGGTCACTAAGATGGGAACCTCTAGTTTATTCCACGCCTTCCGCCCCAAGATGACCACCGAGACCGCCAGCAAGCCCCCAAGATGCCCCTTAGAAGCCACAGGAGGCCTCCAGGAGGCCCAAATCATGCCGAGCCCCCCGGGAGGCCCTCAAGCACCCCCCAAACCGCCTCAGTCATTCTAGTTGATCTTCTTCTTATCTGGTGTTCCTTTGTTTTTTTCTGACATGGCTCAAACTCTATTTTAGGGTCCCTGGCCCGCCCGCCCGCTCTTATGCGCCTCGCCCCCCCCGACCCGCCCCGCAAAGTCTCTCCGTCCGCCAGCTAGGGCTCACCCGGCCCGCCCGCGCGCCAGAGTTTGTCCGACCGTCTGGCTGAAAGCCCGCCCGAAGCGAGCCGACCGCCAGTTCGGGTCTACCTGCCCGGTCCCCCTAAAAGTCCGCAGGCGCCCGCGGGGAGGAGGAATCCTATGTCGGGGGTGCGATCGACGGCGGAAAGGGCAAGAATCGATAGATCGGGGGGTACACATGAAAAAGGGGCACGCGAGCCAACGCGAGCGAGCAATCTCACAACGACGGTTGCTGCACTCGCACCTCAGAAACATGGTTGTTGTGCCTCCCCCGGCCGGCTCGCATGGTTTTCAATTTCGGTGTCCTCCCCGGGGCTCGCACCTCTTCTGTTCGTAAGGCAAATCTGCAGGCTCAAACAGCGATGCTGGCCCCTAGACTACCACAGCAACGGCTCCTTCCTGACGCACCCTCGCAATTGATTAGAGGAATCGCACTTTGCATGGGCTTCTTGCCCCCCTGGTTCGGCGCTGACGGCGCGGGGCCTCTGGCCCCGCCCTCCCTCCCTCTTCCTCTTTCGCTCCCCAAGGTCTCGCCAGGGCCGATGGCGCCAAGCTTGGTTCGGCAGCTCCCGAGCAAAATGAACCATACCTCCCCCCTCAGAAACCATGGGGTGTAGGTGTCCTCCCCCTCCCCCCCCCCCCGGGCCGCAGTGTAGTGCCCCTGCGGCCGGGGCTGTTTCGCGCTGGCCCTCCCGCAGCCTCTGGCTGCCTCGCAGCCCCAGCGCTGTGCGGCCCTGCCCGGCCCGCGCCACGGCCTGGTGGTGTGCCCGTCGGCACGCTCATGCTGTGCAGCGTGCCGCCAGGGCCACGCGCTCAGGCTTGGACCACGTGTCCTCCTTTCGGGCCGGGCGAAGGGGGGGGATAGCAAAGGGGGGGGGGGTTGAGAATAAGCTCGCGTAGCTGATTTTCCCGGCGCCTCCCGGCGCCGGAGGCGGCCATGTGTCGAGGAATGGGCCCTTCGGTGGGACCGAAACCAGCTGCATGCAGCAGATTTCGTAACCCCCTTTCCCTATGCCCCCCTTTCGTTCGGCCCGATCCTTGCCTCCCGCTCCAGTTGAGCTTGGCCCTGGTCGTCTGGTGGCTCGATCGAATGGAGGTCTCACTGCCCCGGGCCGTCTGTCTTCGCTCCTCGCCCCTTTCGTGACGGCACGTGCGGTCGTCGCCCTGGTTTTTGGTCTGACCTTGCCTCTGGCCTGTCCTTTGAGCAGGGACCGACCGCCCAGGCATTCCTACCACGAGATTTCGTTAGAACCCAGACATTTTCTAAGAACGGAAGCGATGCTTTTAGAAGATATAACTGGTGTGTTAAAACGAGATCGATAGTCCGAGCCAGAGACGTTCTAATAATATTTCGTGGGAGCCACAACAAAGGTTCTCAGAACATCGTTTGGTAGGCCTATGGGCACCCCAGGACGCTTCGCCACTGCTTGAGTCCTTCGCGTGACTTGCGCACGCAGGCTCGGGTGTTGTGGCTCCCTGGGGTCAGCGCTTCCAGCCCCCGTTTGTGGCCGTCTACGCCGCCCTGCTGCTGCCTTGCATGATGGGCTTGATTTCCATCACCACCACAAGTTGGAGGGGGGAAGGAGGAGGAGGAGGGGGGAAGGAGGAGGAGGGGGGAGGAGGAGGAGGAGGAGGAGGAGGAGGAGGAGGAGGAGGAGGAGGAGGAGGGCCCCTTCCCCCCTCCAACTTGTGTTGGCGGTGGTGGAAAACAGGCCCACCATTGCAGGCCTTTGCTCCCGCACACGCGCGCGCAGAGAAGCTTCCTGCTCCGAGCGTGCTCCGCCACGCGCGGCGCCCTCGCCACCCGCCCGCGCTCTGCCCGCTCGCGGCCGTGCCCAGTTGGGCCCCGCAGTGTGCCTCTGTTGCCTCCGACCGCGGCTCGGGTGCCAGGCCGCTGCGACAGAAGTCGAGCGACACACGAGCGACGACTAGCGGGCAGTCTTGAAGTTATTGAGTCTTCACTACTAGACATGCGGTCCAAGCAAAAATAATATTCACTGTTAAACTTCTTGAATATTCACTACTAGACAAAGATCGAACTTTCCCTTTTGAATCTTCACTTCCCGACAATGATTGCATCTTCACTACTAGTTATTTGAATCTTCAGCAGTGGACCCCAAACAGAAACACACTGATCCAACAATTCGCCGGCCCAATGGGCCAGAGGCGTGCTAAGATCTCCGGTAACTGGTAAACAGTATTTCTGGTTCGCGCGCGCGGGGCGGCCCCTGGGGGTACTTGGATCAAAAGTACTCCGAGAGGAGCCCGGGACACGCCCGGGACACGCCCGGGACCCTCCCCCAGATCCTCCAGGATCGCCCCAAGAGGGCCCCAAGAGCCCCCCCCCCCAACACAATCCAAGAGAGGTCCGAGACGCCCGAAGATCGTTCCACGGCGCCCAAGATGGCCTCCAGACGGCCCAAGAGGTCTCCAAGATGACCCAACAAGCCTCCAAGATGCCCCAAGAGGCCTCCAGGAGCACTCCCAAGAGGGCCCCAAGAGGCAAAAAACTGTCCTTTTCCTTAGGTTTTGGACAGATTTGGGCGTTTCAACCTTTTCGGTTCTCCGACGCCCCTAAAGGGCTCAAGAGGCCTTCAAGATCGCCCCAAGAGGGCCCAAGAGGCCCTCAAAAGGGCCCCAAGACAGCCCAAGACGGCTCCAAGACGGCCCCAGAGGCCTCCAAGACGGCCCAAGAGGGCCCCAAGAACGCCCCCAACACGGTCCAAGAGAGGTCCGAGACGCCCGAAGATCGCTCCACGACGCCCAAGATGGCCTCCGGACGGCCCAAGACGTCTCCAAGATGGCCCAAGAAGCCTCCAAGATGCCCCAAGAGGCCTCCAAGACAACTCCCAAGAGGGCCCCAAGAGGCAAAATACTGTGCTTTTCCTTAGGTTTTGGACAGATTTGGGCGTTTCAACCTTTTCGGTTCCCCGACGCCCCTAAACGGCTCAAGAGGCCTCCAAGATCGCCCCAAGAGGGCCCAAGAGGCCCCCAAGAGCCCCCTAAGAGGCCCCAGGGGAGCCCAAGACGCCGCCAAGGAGCCCCAAAACGCTCCCAAGAAGCCCCCAAGAGGCCTCCAAGACGGCCCCAAGAGGCTCCAAAGAGCGCTCCAGGACCGGCGGAATGAGCGAAGCGATTAAATCATAATTCCCCAAGCAGGGTTTGTATTTGGGGGTTCCTGCTTGTCTTTCTAGGGAGTGCGGTCGGTCCAACTTTCGAGTCGGGCGAAGGGGGGGGATAGCAAAGGGGGGGTTTGAGAATCAGCTCACGTAGCTGATTTTTCCGGCGCCTCCCGGCGCCAGAGGCGACCATGTATCGAGGAATGGGCCCATCGGCGGGGCCGAAACCAGCTGCATGCAGCAAATGTCGTAACCCCCCCCTTTCCCTACCCCCCCTTTCGTCCGGCCCGAAACTTGGTTCCGCCACATTGCCGCCCGTTGCCGCCTCGTTGCCGCTTCGTTGCCGCCTCGTGCGCTGCGTGGGTCCAGCGAGGTATCGCCACGTTTCCGCCAC